GAGAGAGAGAGAGAGAGAGAAAGGAGCGAGAGCAAGATGATTTCAATGCTCGTAAATTGCTAAAAAAACTCGATTAAAAGACTTAAAAGGTTTTGCGAGGCAACTGCCTCCTAAACCTTGAAAAACTAGCAGAAAAACCAAGAATTAGCTTTGGAGTCGTTGTTGTCGCGGAAAGCGGATTATTTTGCGATTTTCGAATCGGCAGCTATAAAATCCGGGGCATCCGGGATATTGGGCTTATAGGACTGCCGCTGGGCAGGGCATAGGCGTTTTCTCGGGTTCTGGAAAGTACAGGCTTCCGGCGGGTTCGATCAAAATAATGAGCGGCTAGGAATTTATTGCGTTCGGTTCTGCTAAAATCAGGAGCAGCCGAAATGTTCTGTGGTAAGGTGGTAATTAACGGAAATGTCGAGATTTTTCTGGAATTTATGGTATTTTGAAGGAAATGATCTACAGGGTGTCCCAAAAAAAAGACCCCCCCCAAAAATTTGAGCCAGAGGGCACTTACGGAGCTGAAAATTTGCACAGAGGTAGCGAAGCCAATTTTTTATGAACAAGGAAAGTTTCAGCCTGATCGGCTTGCGGGTTTTAAAGTTATAGCGAAAATACTTTTCATTTTTAATTTAATATGGGGATCTATGCAATTTGCATCAAAAATATGCGTTATTCTTGCATTTACGATCCGATTTTGCATAAATTCCGCTGAAAAATGCCATTTTCTTGATGGAGCTTTTGGAAAACGATTGCGTATGAAGAATAAAAAGAGTGTTAAAACAACTGTTTTTTCGATCCAAATCACGTGTTATTGTCCATTTTGGCAATTTGAGCTTCGTCGGCCCGAAAACAAAGTTCGGCGGGCTCGAAAACAGTGTTGAGGTTTAGATTTGGGCTTATGTTGGCGCGTACGCTGAAGTTTAAGCCAAGCTCAAGCGTTCAACGATAGTTTCCGCCCTGAGGTCTGGTACTCATCGTTCTTGCTGATCATTTTCTCACTACACGAGCAATCGTTTTCCCAAAAGCTCCAGCAAGAAAAAGGCATTTTTCAGCGGAATTTATGCAAAATCGGCTCGTAAATGCAAGAATAACGCATATTTTTGATGAAATTGCATAGATCCCCATATTAAATAAAAATGAAAAGTATTTTCGCTATAACTTTAAAACCCGCAAGCCGATCAGGCTGAAACTTTCCTTGTTCATAGAAAATTGGCTTCGCTACCTCTGTGCAAATTTTCAGCTCCGTAAGTGCCCTCTGGCTCAAATTTTTGGGGGGGGGGGTCTTTTTTTTTGGGATCTTCATACTCGGATCCTAAAGCGTTTAAAGGCATCGGAAAGGATTTTGGCGCGGAAAAGGGTCATAAACAATTACGCTATCCAAATATCCAGATATCCAAATTGCTCCCGCGTTCCCTGAAAAACATCCGCTTAGTCATTTCCGTATTCAAATTTCTCCCCTACCGTACCCCCTGATGAGCCACCCCAAACGTCGAAATGCCCGCCGAAAAACATTCCGGCAAGCCGGAAACTGCCGGTCGGGATTAAAGGAACGGCGTAGCCGCCGCGAATGGCTAGAAAACGCCGGAAATGGTGACCAAAATGGGTGGTTGCACATTAGGCAAATCCTCGCCGCACGATAAACCAAAGGACTCGGAAAAAAACGGCAGAAAGCCACTGGCCGGTAATCCCCGGTCGTCACATTCAGGAATTACGGAGATGAGCGAGGTCTCATGACAAAGCATTTTTCTAACCGGATATCTACGTAAAATCGGGAGGACTACGGTAGTTTTGGTTGCGCAATATGCCGCAAAAAATGGGGGTTAAAAAGTGCTTTGTATTTTTTGAGACTAGACCTTGAGTTATGTTGTTTCAATGGTCTTTTATTAGAATAACAGAAAAATGACTGCTTTTCTAAACTATGGGCCGCGACTAAACTACATTAAATATCTCCTAAAAATGTATAAATACGTAATTTGAAAACTAATAATTTAATGTTACTAATTGCCATCAGATTAAAATACTAGCCAACTACCGTAACGCTAAAACCACCAAGAATTGGGCCACACTAAATTACAGCACGGTCACCGTATGACCGTGCCAAAAAAATTAATAGGATTGCGCCAAAAAAACAATAACTTATTAATGCCAAATAACATATAAAGGAGCAGCCTCGAGTTATAATAAAAAGCAATGGCTACATTACACTAAATTACGCAGAGCTACCGTAAGGCTCCTAAAAATAACCAAAAATCCGACCCAACTACCGTACCCCAAGTGCTGAAACATGTGCAGGCCTCGAATTTTGTGTAATCTTTTAACCGCACTATAAGCCACCTCAACCAGCTTAAATTGGCCCCGTTCCAAGTCAATCCATATGCTAAGCCCAGGATTTGATGAGTCGACAGCCGGGGGCTATAGTTATTACCAGATTATATGGTCTAGAGCCCGCATTCAAATATGTATTTAGCAAGGGCAAGGGGCTTGGGGATTCTGGCTCAATATTCTGGCACAAATAGGGATAAAATCGCTTATTCTTCTACAAATGTTGATTCGAAGGTTCGGCTAGAAACTAGGGGAATTGTACATGCAAGCCTCAAAAAATGACGAGCGGGGGTGTGTCTGGCCTCAAGGAGCAGCTGCTATCTAGAAAAAAGGATTTACAGGTGGTAGTTTATATATTTTTGCGCAGTGATTCCGGAAATTGAAAGTTCAGCGAGCCTGGAGCAAAAAGCGCTGATTAGCGTGGCTGGCAAGAGCCGGGATGTCGTTTTATAAAGCCTGAAAATTGACCACAAAGTGAAATTTATCGTATTTATCGACGTATATAAAAGGATTTTATCGAAACCTCAAAAAGATACTTTACTACGAGGCCTTGCTCCTTTCCAAGTTTCAAAAAATATTTGGGTACGATTGAAAAAACGCCCCTATGCCCTGACCGCATAAAATTTTGACCTTTAAATGGAGCGAAAACCAAAGCCGATTTTTGCCCAAAATGTTTTCTCCTGGAATCCAAGATCGCTTGCTCCAAAAAAAAAACCCACTGACAATCTTGCCCCGGAGCTAAATCGACCTTGAGCCGGGGATCACCGGGGATGTTGCCAGGGCATAAACATGTTTTTGGAACCGACCGGCTGATTGCCAATTCGGGATCTTGGATCCCGGGTCAATTTTTTGGTTAAAAACGAGGAAATGGGATATCAGGAAATCAGAAAATCATCGAGGTCGCTTTGGAGCTATTTTGATTTTTTTTCAAGCATTTTATACCCAGAAAATCCGAAGATCTAGCGCATAAGGGCCAGAGTTTCTCTTTTCAAAAAGTCATGCTGGGAACCATACGAATTTCGGACCCAATGATTTAGAAAACGGCGCTACGACGGTTCGCGTATATTTCATTCCCTGAAAATCCCATGATTCAGCTCGAAAAAGAACTTTAAAAAATGTTGACTGGGAACCCGCTAATTTCGAGCCCAATGATTCAAAGCCGACCCAACAAAATTCGTAGCCCACGTCAACCAAGCAATTACTTTCCACCCAATAGCAAAAATATTATCGCATGGGTATATTTGCGTACATGGGAACGCCGCGGAGCGCGCGAAAGCATACAGGGTGGCGATTAATTACCTGCGCGTCGCTTTTACCCCAAGAATCAGGCTTTAAATTTTCTTTGGTAGAGTCGTTTTACTATATTGGTGGTTGTTTAGTTGCATCCTATCCAAATTTTAACCGGGTTAAGCAATCACGAAAAACTACGAGCTAAGAAGCATAAATTCCGGCTTCACAACGCGCATCCTGTTCGCATGGCCACACTTTTGAAGCCTGCTGTAGCCATGGGAGGTAGCTAATCTTTTATAAAACGGCTCAGATATGTTGCACGCTTCTTTTCAAACGTAGTAAGCGTTCGAAAACCGACCTATGTCAAAAGATAAAAAAAGATACAGTATCGAGAACGACATCGGCCAAATGGAAATAAAAACCGCGCGTTCTTTCGATATTACGCGTGAATCTATCGGTACGATATGAGAAAATATGTACAATCCTTACAACAACCATATGCCAAAAGTTCTTGGGTTCATAAGACTTTATCAGGAAACTAGGATCCAAAAATGCTAGAAATTGCTGACGATTTTTGAGGCGCGCCGCGGGCTGAATTGATGGCATCATTTTTGGCCCAGAACTTTCCCAAAATTCTTCAGAACCGGCCTCAATTTAACAATGCGTCCTATGAAACCAATAAGAAGAGGGCTACATCAACGAAATTGCACATTCCCGAACAATATTTTTATTTTTGAGGTGTCTCATTCTGCCCGATTTGGCTCCAGGCGGAAATTGGTCGTAGAAATTTTGTTATTTGGTAGGGCTCGGGCTCAATAAAAATGCTTTTAATGGATTTGAGCATCTGGAGGGTAATCGGAGGCATCGAACTAACAATAATTTGAGGGCACTGCCTATCAAACTGAAAAAATATCGGGTCTTTTGATCGGTACATACCCGCGGCGCGCGCGCTTGTTTGCTCGACGACATTTTTCGGGTTGGAAAAAAGTTGAGGGCCACTGACCCAAATTTTTTCTGTACATTAAGTATTAGATAGCTTGTGATTTCATAAAATGCAGAGCGATCAGAGATTGCTTTAAGGAAAATTCGGAGCGAGCGTTTTCTCTCGCGCAGGTAATTAATCGCCACCCTGTAGATGCACCCGAGGGCCCCATCCGCAATAACAATCAAAAAGTCACACCGTTAATTGGGTGTGCGGCGGATATTCGGGGGGAAGGTCGTTTGCATTTCCGATTCCAGGAGCCGACGGGTGAAAACGTCGAGACGTGGTGCGTCAGTATAAGAAACTAAAAAATATATATTGTTTTTGGACAAGTGAAAGGCAGGGATCCGGTGTGTTTTGGTGGTGACGTTTATTTGTAAAACTTTATGCAACGGAACAGATAAACGAATCAAATACCCCCAATGAGATCCACGTGCATACATGAGAAAAATGAATAGGACAAAATCATCTAGGAAAATTCTGGGAACAACTTCGGGAATTCTTCCTCTCCGACCATGCCGACGTGCACGACGCGCTTCTGGTCGTATTTCGGGATCTAAAATTTAAAGATACTTATCCGTAAGTCTAAATACCGGAATGTTCTGGAAAAAGGAGATGCTGGTGTCGCGTTTGAGGCCGAGAGGGTTCCGGGAGAACTGAAAGTGGGTTTTTTTAAATCAATTTATTTTTTTGAAATATAATTGATTTTCAAATTATTTTGGGAGTTTTCCGTAATTCTAATACTTTTTCCTAAAAAGTCTAGAATTTTCGACAGGTTTGGTCAATTTTCGGTAAATTTTTCTTCAAGAATTTTTCCAAATGTTTGTAGTTTCATTTTATTTTTATTTGGATTTTTCAGTACCAGAAACAGCGGAGAGTGATATTCAAAAGGTAAAAATTTGTTTCATCCTGCTAACAAAAAAAAAAACCCCCTACATCTTCCGCTCCGAATGAGGTTCGCTGGGCGCGTTTGATGGCCGGATGGATGTGCCGCGTTTTTCCGGATGTGTCGACGAACCGCTAAATTTCTTGGATCTAGAAACAGAAAAAAGCTTACCCGCAGCAACTCGGTCGTCTCAGCCCACAGCGCCTTGCCGCTGGTGTTCACGTACTCCTCGCTCGAGTTGAACATCACCGCATTAGCAAACGTCCTGGTGAGGCGATTACGCAATTGCTCGAAGGTGGTGATCTAAAAAAGGTATAATGAAACGTACAACAAAGCACTTCAAAATTAAAATAAAATTTAACGTACCTTCCCGTTTTCGATATCGTTTTTCACCGTGTTAAGGTCCATCGGGCTAAAAAATAACATTTTTATGGCAAAATGAAGTTCAATATACCGTTTTACAACCTTCGAATATCCAACAGCATCACGATCCGTCACCGGGTACCGGAAAATGTCGGCAAAGCGGTGGGCTTGGATTTGGGTGATGCAAGCGAGCAAGTTGGTCTAAAAAACAATAACAACAAGGAAAAAGACAGAACCTTAGTAGAGATCTGCTCATCACGGGACGGCGGTTTCATGTCTTGGTCATCTAAAGGAAAACCATTGAACAAGAACGGCTCGCTAAATTTGAAACAACAAAATTACGGATTTTATCAACAAACTTTTAAAAAATTAGAAAATGTCTACTTACCAGTATCTTCAATCTCGCGTCGCTGTGTCAATTCCACCATCATCTTGCGGCCAGTGGACTGTTCGGAACCCGAACGGCGCGACTTTTTCGACTCCTAAAAAGTATAGAAATTCCGAGTCAATACACTCAGAAAAAACAAAAGTAAAAAAGACTAATTTCTGAGCATACCCCAGTTTTCGGGCGCGGTTGGGCAAAGGTGGCGAGCGGCGCATCGTCGTCGCTGGCCTCACCCGGCTCCAGCGGCGTGACGACGACGTACGGGCGCTTCAGACGGTTGAAGCCGGCTCGATCGCGATGGACTTTCACCTGAAAAATCACTTCCTATCTTGAACGATCTATAAAATCAAAACAAGGCAGCTAAAATGAAAAAAACTAAAGAAGCTAAATTACAAATAAACTTACCAAATCACTGGGCGCAAATTCAACGGACGTCGTCTGGCATCCAGAAGACACCGTTTTGCCCTTGGTGGCCCCACCAACGGGTTGATGGGCGCGTGTCGAGCGGCGCTATAAAGCAATTTATAAATTTTGCCCATGTAAACAAGACAATCATGCCAAACAAAAAGACTGCATCCCTTTATCGACACATAATTTACAGATTAGTATAGAGCAGCGGACGATGGACAGGAATTTACAAAAATAAGCAACAAAATAAACGTAAGTAATGCAGTAAAAGCATACCACGGATGGCTTTCGGCTGGAGGCGGCGATAGGGTGCTGTTTGGTCATGTAGATGGAGATCTAAAGACAGTGAATAAGCAAATTAATGTCGCGTACTTCTGTAGATAAGGCAAGAGTTCGGTGAGTGGCCGTGGTGACCGTCTCGGACACGTTTAGATCTACTTCTTCTTTCGCATCTTCTTGAGCGGCGACGTCGAGCTGGAAAAATAAATGCATGAAAAACTTCTACATATATCATTAATGCTCTCTGATTTTTAACGAAAACCATATAACTTTTTGTTTTGTATCCGTAGTTATAACATTCTTCACCTACCGTTTCTGTGGCTAGAGAAGGTGATCGCTCGGTGACCGAGGTTTGAGAAGCCAGTCTTTCCGACGACGGGCTAAATTTTCACTGGTATTTGATGTGCGTGGAAATGTACTTTGCTTACCTTAATTTCTGTGGAGATTTTAAGGAAAGTTATATTGTACCACGAGCAAAATTAATTTCGATAAATTTAAAAATTCTAAACGGCCAAACTAAAAAAAAACTCACCGTGTCGAACGACGCGATTTCCGATCCTGGGCGTCAGTGGTGTCCTGAAAATGACGCTAATCGAAGTTAGAGCGTTCATTACCATTGGCTCGTCAGAAGAAACGGTGAGCGTCGGACGACGAAGTGATCCACGGCGGCTAAAAATTATCGTAGAAAAGCAGTGAAAGACCAACAAACCCGGTGCTCGGCTCGGGTTTGGCCATCTCTTCAACGCGGGATGACCTGAAGCTACGGGTAAGTATGTTGAAGTTCCAATCCAAAAAAAAGAGGGCTTGTAAAAACCTACCGCCTGCTCCTTCCTTCGCCATCAGGGGCGCTTTGCTCGCTGGTCACGGAAGTACCCTAAAAATACTTGAGAACTTTTGTAGAAACAAACAGTATTGACACGAGAGCGAGCCAGTTTTTCTTCAACCTCCTCCACCGTCGGAGCGGCTTCTTCTCGGGGTTGTACAGGGGTGGGGGCAATTTTCGGCTCCTCTTTGGCCACTGGGGCTTCAACCACAGGTTTGGACGGCTCCGACTCCTTTGCGGCTGCGACTCCTTGTGGTTTTGGTGGCTCGGGTCGACCGACTTGGACCTAAAATGTGATGGTATGATTTACCTAATGTTTTTTCGTAGTTTTTCTAGTTAGTTTGTCTTAAACTTTAATCCGAATTATACCCCTGGAGCTAAAATGTTACCTATTATTGATTAAGTTAATATACTTGAATTAGTTTATTTTTAATTTAAACTGAATTACACCCACCATCAGCTGCTGATCCAATCCAACTTTTGCCGGTGGCTGGGGCTCAGTAACTTCCGGCTCCCTTTTATCCTCCTTGACCACGGCGGCTTCAGCGGTCTCTTCAGCCCCCGACTCGTTTTGATCACCATCAATTTCCTGGCCCTCATTCTCATCATCTTCGATAGGTTCGCCCGAGATGAGCGCGTAGAGCTTTTTCAGATTCTAAAATAATAGCTTAATTCGGTGAGACAGCTAGCACGGACCGCAAATTTAGTATTTTTAGCCAGCCGTTGAAAGTGGGGGTTGTTGACGAGCGGATTCTGCTTCCAAGTGCTGAGGCCTCGCGGGACCCGGATCTGCACAGACGGTGGGACGAAATAACCGGCAGTCTAGAATAAAAAATAATTTAAAGAAAATCAATGACCAACCCATTCCTCGGGAACCAAATCTGGTGCTGGCGTCTCACGGACGATTTGCAAAAGTTTCTCTCGGTAAACTTCCAACAACATTTGGTACGCCTTGTGTTCTTCGTCTTGCTAAAAAAGATTGTAGGATCAGCAAAAGAGTTTCTAACGAACCACCATCTCATCCCGGGCCTGCATTTGCTCAAGGCAACTATTCAGAAAGTCTTCGTCCACTTGGCCTCTCAGCACTCGCAAAAACAGCTCGACCTCCTTGCGCATCGCACAAAGGCTGATCTCATAGTCACAATCCTCTTCTTCGAATGTCTAGAAAAGTAATTGTTCCGACAAAGGCAGATTTCAAGAACCTTTTCCTCAAGATATGATAACCAATCTTCGAACAGCGTCTTGTCCGACCTTCCCACGCCCAAAAGTACGAGTGTGCCACCGTCCGGAACCGCAGACTCCATAATACCTTGCCACATTTGTCGACACGTCTAAAAATGCTTGAATTTCTACGCCAGTCTAAACCTTTGGCGTGAAAAAGTTGCGCGGGCGCTTGCTCCCAAAGATTTCGTTCATCTTGGCGGAACGGGCGTCCCTAAATTTGGTAAATTAAATCAAACTCAAATCTGATACCAGTTCCTTTCCGGCAAATCGCGGTACAGTCGCATCATGAAATATTTCTCGCGATACGTCCAGCCGCGTTGGAACATCATCCTGGAATCTACCAATTCACGAAGCGTTCAGGATTTATATAGCGAAGTCCACAAAAACCAAAATAGTCTAAAAAATGGGAAAAAGTAGCCGAAAACGGTTTTTGAACGCCCAAAAAAAGTGTCTTTAGAAATTGGGGCACTAACGGTATCCACGCTTGGCGCGGGGTAGATGTGTAGTTTGAAGCCTTTCGTAGCGCAACAAGGCGATTCAGGAACCAAAAAATTCTACTAAAATAACGATTTTGATACTTTTTGCTAAAAATAGAATTCTGAAAATTGGCATAGTGATAAATCACAGTATTGTTCAGCGATGTTAAATTTCGCTCGATTTGGCCCGATAGCTTTGAAGTCACACAGGTTTGAAGTCATCATGTCATGTGGAGCTCAGCATTTTAACCTTTTTCAACACATTTCGAATGGAATAACGATTTATTGCTGCAGAGATCAAGCGGAACTGGGGCAACGCAAAGCATCCTTAAGGTTCATTGACAACAACACGTTCGCAATAAATTTGTGGCCACAGAAAAATGAGGGGGCACAGCGTCGACGGCGGGAACGGGAAAATGGTAAAAGGTACAAGAGCTAGCGATTAGTTTTAATAATTCTGTAAAAGTCAATGGCGGTAGGGGTTAATGGGGGAATTTAGAGGTATTCCTCCATGGGCGGGCAGGTGCAGACGAGATTGCGGTCGCCGTACTGGTCGTCGACGCGGCCGACGGTCGGCCAGAGCTTGTGGTGGCACCTAAAATTGTTTTTATTGAATTTAGCTATTTTTTAAAACGTTTTTTATTCTTAAAAATAAACTTCATCGATTCACTTACCAAGGTTTCGGGAAGGCGGCCATTTCGCGGCTGTACGGCCGATTCCACGAGTCGGACAGCACGACGGGCAGCGTGTGCGGGGCGTTCTAGAGAGGTTTTTTATAATTTAGAATTTTTCTCTAGTTAATATAATGTTTAGTACGCTTTTTCCTATACCTTTAGCGGGTTGTTGAGCTTGTCGAGGTCGCCCCGTTCGACTGCCAGCACCTCGTCGCGGATGGCGAGTAGCGAGTCGACGAGTCGATCCATTTCGGCCTAAAAGTGACATTAACTGTGTAAAATTTTCTTTTTTATCATTTTTCCGATAGGCTACAAACTACAAAATGCCCCACCTTGTCCTCCGACTCGGTCGGCTCGATCATGAGGCAGTCCTGCACGGGCCAAGACATGGTCGGCGAGTGGAATCTGTACGAACAAGATTTTGAAAAACGCCCGAAGCACCGTACCCATAGTCCATCAACCGCTTCGCGACATCGACCACCTCGACGCCGGCCATCTTCTTGAACGGCTTGCAGTCGATGATGAGTTCGTGGGCGACGAGACCTTGCTCATCTACGCAAAAATGATTAGTTAGCTTAGCTTGATATCCTTATCTTTCTTAGGCTTAGGCTTAGTCTTAGCGTGAACTTAGGCAGCTAGGTTTGCTACAGCTACGCGACATACCTTTGTACACCACCCTGTAGCCGCCGGCCTCGAGGCGCTTCGCCATGTAGTTGGCGTTGAGGATGGCGATCTAGGGGCGAGGGGTACGGTAGATTGGCCGGATTTAGCAGATACCTGGGACGCCTTTTTCAGGCCTTGCGGGCCCATCATCCGGATATACGCCCAGGTGATGGGGAGGATGCTAAAAAAAGAGGATTTCTCTGCTACTGTCCCTCAGTAATTTTTTGTACCGTAACCTCGAGCTCAAAAAACTCACCTAGCCGATCCCCAGGGAGCCGCAGCAACGGCCAAGTCTTGGCGGCCATCAACCGGAACGACAGGATGGCCAGGGAGGAATGGGGCGAGATGTTGTTTGCTGTAAAATGGGCAATTCCGGACTGCGGAAGTAGGCTTACACTCCAATCGGGCCAACACCAGGACCGCCGCCGCCATGGGGGATGCAGAACGTCTTGTGCAAGTTCAGATGGGACACATCGGAGCCGTAGTCGCCCGGGCGGCAGAGACCCACCTGGAAAGGCGGGGTTTCTTGGCTTAGGCGCTCCTTTACAACGTTTTCTGGGCTTCTCTCTCTTGCGCTCTCTCTCGCTCTCTCTCTCTCTCTCTCTGTAGCTCTCTTCCCACCTGCGCATTCATATTCGCTCCATCAAGATACACCTGTCCGCCATGCTCGTGGACCTTGTCGCAAACATCTAAAATTGCTGCAATACCTACCAGTTACTGCTAAAAATTGCAAAAATTCTACCCTACTCATCACTCCACCGTACCCCTGATATGGCTCTCAAAGACGCCGTGCGTCGACGGGTAGGTGACCATGATGGCGGCGAGTTCAGCGGAGTGCTTCTCGGCCTTGGCGGCGAGGTCTTTGTAGTCGATATTTCCGTGCCGGTCCGAGTTGACGACCACCACGCGCATGTTCGCCATCTACAAGCCAGGAAAAATATTGAAAGCAGGTTTTTGAGACCTGTGCAGAGGCAGGGTTCGTACCGTGGGCCGACGTCGGGATCAAGCAGACCTAAAAATGCTGTTTGAGTTGCTTTAACTAATTTTAAAGGACCATGCGAGGCAAAAACTCCGTAGACGACTATGGATTTAGCTTCTAAGATACTTCCATAAATATTTGAATTTTTTACATTGCGTTTCTCCTCGCCCTTGTGGATGAGGTAGTTGCGGATGGCGAGTAGCCCGGCGTACTCGCCATTGGCGCCGGAGTTGGGTTGGAAGGAGAAGCGGTCGTAGCCTAAAAAGTTTGTTATTGCTGTCTTTAAAAGTCCTTTAGTCCTTTTTTTTAAAGTTTAAAGTTCCTTTAAAAGCCCGTAGGTCGGAGAGGCGAGCTAGCAGAGATCCTTAAACCCGATTCCCTACCAGTAATCTCGCATAGCCACTTGTTGAGGTCGTCGATCACCCGCTCGTAGCCCTTGGCCTGGGCGATCGGGGCGAATGGGTGGATGTTGCCGAACTTCTCCCAGGTTACCGGCTAAAAATGAGCTCGAGTTTCGGGAGCTACAGTACCTGCAACTCGGCGGATGCGTTCAGCTTCATTGTGCAGCTGCCGAGGGGGATCATCGAGTGGACAAGGGAGACGTCCTTGTTCTCGAGACGTTTCATGTAGCTGAACTACGGGATGAAGGGGTTCAATGGGGACTAGGATAGGTATATAGGAAGTAGGATATCGACGCGTCACGGCAGAGCTGCGTGCCACATTACGAAACGTAGCAAAAATCTTCAAAAAGCGAGAGAGCGAGTGAGTGAGAGAGAGACAGAGCGAGAGACAGAGCAAGAGGGACGCAACAACCACGTAAGGTGTATTCAAGCGTACCGAACAAGTTGCTGCTCCGAGTGGTGGCTGTTGAACACGGGGTGCTCGAGGTACAGCGATGTGCGCCCGTGCTCCGAGTTTCCGATCAAGGGGGAAGCGCATTCGAAGACCTGGTCGTAGACTTCAGTCTAAAAAGGGATTCAGTTTTTAAAGAGAGGTCAAAATACCGTACCTCGAGCATCAACGGCTCGCCGGTGAAGATGTAGCGCAGGTCGTTGAGGTCGGCGGCCTTCGTCGTCTCGTCCAGGGAGACACCAACGGATTTGCCGTCTTCAAAGTACCTAAAAATGGGGTTTAAAGGGACCGGACTACAGACTACAGAACGGGACTACAGACTTGTCGAAGATGGCGTTCCTACGAACCGGAAGCTTAAGCTCAAGCTAAGCCTAATCTAAGCCTAAGTTAAGCCAAGGCTAAGCCTAAGTTAAGCCTAAGCTAACCTCCAGCTAATCCAACACCCACCTCAAGTTGATCTTCTTCTCGATGGCCCGCTTCCTGATGCCCTCAATGTCGCAGTCGACGATCTAAAAATACCACAGATTTTAAAGGTCCATTGTACTTGAAGAAATAAGCGCCAAAAACTTTTTTCCTGCCCACCTTGAGCGTGTCGAAGTAGTCCTTGAACGCCAGCCGCCCGTACGTGTCGCAGTCGGCCTTGATCTCTTAAGAAAGGAAAAGCACCGTAACGCTGTAAAGTGGAGCCTTACGTTGGGCCAGCCAGGCGGTGCTCTTGTGCACTTGGCGGGCGATTTCGGCTAGTCGGGCGGGGCCGTGGTAGACGGCGTACATGGCGGCCATGTTGGCGAGAAGGGCCTGGAATGGTTGGGGTTAGTGAGTGAGAGAGAGCGAGAGAGAGAAAAAAGAAATGACGAAAAAATCCTACCTGAGCCGTACAAATGTTGGACGTCGCCTTGTCGCGTCTGATGTGCTGCTCACGGGTCTGGAGCGCCAACCGCAGAGCCCGTTCTCCATTAGCTCCCCTGAATTTGATGGCGTAATCGATAAATCTCTTCAAGCCGTACTTTGAAACTCCAACAATCCTTCCGGGCATCATTCGAGATAGCGAGTTCCGGGCGTCCGTCTTCCCGACGGCCATGAACGCGGCGTGCGGGCCACCTAAAACGGCCTAGTTTTCTAAATTTTGCTCCACCGACCGTATCCCAGTGGAACACCAAATCGCTGGGCGCTTCCGACGGCAATATCTGCTCCGAGATCACCGGGCGAGCGGAGGATGGTCAGCGCCAACAGGTCGGTCACCAGGATGACGAGCGACTGCAAATTACGGCACTTGTAATTTATCGGGGAGGGGCATGAGCTTTCTCTCTCTCACCCTCACTCTCTCAGTCTCTCGCTATCGCTCTCTCTCTCTCTCTCTCTCTCTCTCTCTCTCTCTCTTTCTCTCCTCCTTTTTTACCTTGTTTGCATGGACCTTGGCGATGACCTCGTCGAGGAGCTCGATTTTGCCCTCTGAAAAACCATAGCTATGTGAGACAACGCTAAACGTACCGGTGTTGGGGTACTGGATGACGACGGCGGCCACATCGTTGTCCAGCTTCAGCTCGGCGCCCAGGTCGAGCTTGTCGATGGCGATCCCTAGCGGGCTGGAAAATTGATTTTGATGTTTTGGGGTTTAAAGGGGCCGGGAAGCCAGAAGAAGCTACAAACTACAAGCTAAAACTGCACAAAAATTACCCGCTGCGCGTCTCGACGAGTCCGCGGTTCTGTGGGTGCAGATTAACGTCGACGAGGACCTGAAAAAGAGCAAATTAGGATTTCTAGGCTTGATACAGGGCAAGCTAGCAAAGACCATTGATTTTACCGTCGTATTTTTGACGATTTCGTAGTTCTATAACTCTTAAAGGGACAGCAACACCACGCACCTTTGACCTCTTCGTCGACCTTGCCGCCAGAGCGACAGCTTCAGCCACCGCCGTCGACTCGTCGAGCAGCGAGGCGTTGGTGTTGGGCAGTCCGGTCAGGTCGGCCACCTTAACAGCTTTTCGAAGGGACCGGAAACCCAAATTTACCATGGTTTGGAAGTTGAGGAGGGACTCGAGACGGCCCTGGGAAATCTCGGCTTGATAGGGGGTGTATTGCGAGATCCTGGATAGGTCGGAAATGGTCAGAAAAATCGTTTTCCACTGACCATCCAATATTTTCCATCATATTCCGCTGGATGACGGCCGGGGTGATGGTACCGTAGTAGCCCATGCCGATGTAGGAGCGCCAGATCTGAGAAATGTAGGCTACAAAGTACAACCAAGCGTTTTTACCTCATTCTTCTCTGCGATCGCCTTCAGCTCGCGGATCATGGTGAACTCGTCGGCGGCCGGGGGCAGGTCGAGGTCATCTTCGAGGCGGATCTGCTTCGGCACGTTCGTCGAGGTCAGTTGGTCCAGCGTCTGAAACGTGGAATTCGAGAAAGCGGTTTGGTTTGGCCTAGGCTAGGCTTCGACTAGGCTTAGACTTGGCTTAGGCTTGGCTTAGGCTTGGCGTAAGCTAGGCTTAGGCTGCTTCGGCTTAGTTTAGGCTAGGCTTGGTTTAGGCTTAAGCCTACGCTTGGCTTAGGCTAGGCTTAGGCTTGGCTTCGGCTTTGCTTAGGCTACGCTTAGGCTAGGCTTAGGCTTGGCTTAGACTTGGCTTAGGCTTGGCTTAGCTTGGCCTAGACTTGGCTTAAGCTTAACTGATTTCAGCTGGGTTATTTTTAGCTTCGTCTAAGTCTCACCCCAAAGCCGACAAAGTCGAGCATCACTTGCTTCTCCAGACGGCTAGGCCCGATGTGGCGATCGGCGAACGAGTCGTGCACCGACAGTCGGCCTGGGAGGGCCGCTGAAAAATGAAGTTGACTTGGGTTTTGGACTCAAGCTACTTAAGCCACATTTTTGCTGCCTCCAAAGCTAGCTTCCAAGCTTCGAAAGCGCAAAAACGCTAGAAAACGGACCATTGGCGGCGAGCAGCCGGCGCGTGGAACCCCGGAGAGCCGCGTGCAGCATCGGCACTGGAAAAAGACCTATTTAAATCGGTAAAAAACTGTAAACGAAAAAAGCACGGGCATGATGTGTCTATTAATGCGCGAAGATCCAGCGTTTTACTTAGGTGTCATTATCCCTTTAAAAGCGGTTTTTGGATGTCTACGAACGTGAAAAACCAAGCAAAAAACGTTCGAAAAATCGGAAGATGCCAAGAGAGAAAATCGAGCTCAAGCTCTAAGTTTCGACAACCTTTAAAGTTTTATAAAAAGCAATCAAATCTATAAAAATCAATAATCCGCGAAAAACCGCAATTAACAATCAGTCTATTGGTTCAAGAGAGGCAGTGGGGGTGGCGAGATGTTGCGCGCACGCACGCTGCCCTGGGAAAGAGCTGATAAAATTGCGATAAAAATTTTTTGAGGGATAGGTTTATCTTTGTCTCGCTCGCTCTCTCTCGCTCTCTCTCTCTCTGTCGTCTCTCTCTCCTCATTGATTTGCCCAATTTCGTCGAGTTGACATATTACTTTCGTGTTGCCCTTGTCTGTGCGTTGTATCCTGTTTCTTGCCCTTCGAGGGTATCTCTTTTGGTACTTCCTAAATGTATCTATCCCCCTGTTTTCTCCATTCTCTCGTCTCTAATCACACAATTGGGTTCAACATGGACCCATCAAAACTCGGGGAAGAGGGCTGTCCAAAGATTAGATACCGTGAATGGCAGCAGCTCGAGTCCGAGTGGATCGATAGTTTTTTGGGTGCGATAGAGAGAGAGAGAGAGAGAGAGAGAGAGAGAAAGGGAGAGAAAGAAAAAGAGAGAGGGAGAGAGATAGAGTGAGACATAGCAGCGCACACGTGTCTGACGTTCCATTGGTTAATGTATTACGGTTTTCAGAGGGCGCGTTGCGGATCGCGGCGCGTGCCGCGGTGCACGTGGTGTTGCGTGTGATGTTGCGTGTGGCGTTGCGTGTCACTTTACGTATCTCGTTCGATGCCGCGTCGTTAAGTGATGCGTTGCGTGCCGCGTTGCGAGTGGCGTTGCGGTCAGCTCCCAAGCGAATCCATAGCTAGCCTCCAAAGTTCCGACATTTTACGCTCGCCCCCTAGATACCTAAACAGCGCGAACCTCTCCCAAGCCTTGCAAAGCCCCGAACACTTTGAGGCAGGGACAACAATCAGCTGCTGTCAACGATCCCCCTCCCTAAATTCGAAAACAACCTTGATAACGGGATTTCTACAGCTTTCGTTGCCACAACAGCATTAAATACACATTGAAGACACGTTTTTAGTGGATACCCACGGTGGTGGCAGTGGCAATTTGGTGGTGGGTAGAGCCCGCAGGGGAGGCTGCTAGCGAGTAGGAATGAGTGATTTTCAGTTCCGTCGGGTATTGAAAAACTCACATCGAAATTTTGGATTCAAACACGATATTAAAAAAACAGGTTCTAAATTTCCCTGCATTGAAATTTCGACAACATTAAATTTTGCCAAAATAATCTTCACCCCCCATCCTGTCTCTCTCCCACTGTCTCTCTCTGTCTCTCTCGGTCTCTCTCTCTCTCTCACTCTCTCTCTGTCTGCCTGTCTGTCTGTCTCTCTGTCTGTCTCTCTCTCTGTCTCTCTATCTCTATAGCCCTCTCTCTAGCTCTCTCTCGCTCTCTCTAGCTCTCTCTCGCTCTCTCTCGCTCTCTCTCTCTCTCTTGCGCGCTCTCTCTCGCTCTCGATTTTGGCGGGAATTCGTGCCGGTACCGTGGTAACCGACTACGTCTCGGTGGCACTGGGTGGTGCCGTGGCTGTGGTGTAGCCCTCCTCCCCGTTATCTGTTTTGAATGAATGATATGAGGGTGAGGCAGTATAGAGCTCCGCTCTGATCCCCAAACAAGCTGATTAGCATCTACCCAGCCGGTGCCCACCATTTCGGGAACATTCTCTCCCTTCCACCCCAGCCATCCCTCCGTCCACAGTACCCATCTGTACTCTGGTGTCTGGTGTACACCAAAAGTGTCCAGAGGAGCTGAGCGGAATGCGATTTTTTTTTGTTTGCTTGACCTTGCTTCAGGAACTTCAGCCTACAGAAGTTTCGTCCGGAAACGGAACCGGTAACGGAAGACAACGTTCATAGACTCTTCCGGGATTTTCGGGTTACGGTATTCTACATTGCCGGCTTACGGTAATCAAAATTGCTGTATTTGGGCTCGTTATGTAGCGATTTTGTGCATAAATTTCCCAAGCTACCTCCAAATTTTTGATCGATAATGCGCAAAAATCCTTTGTTTTCGAGCTACCAGGATTTTTCAAGGTTTTTTTTTGACTTGTCGAGACCTTTAAACTCAGTAGTAAAAGCTTGGGCTTCGGCTTGGGCTTACGCTTGGCTTAGGCTTGAACTCAGGCTTGGGCGTAGGCTTGGCCTGGTCTTGGCTTAGGCGTTGCGCGAGGCTAGGTCATAACTTATTAGCAGTTTGCTGTAAAAACGACTTTTTTAATATGGATTCCAGACTTGCCAGTCTTTTTAAATACACTTTTCCAGCCGGCACGCCCCTTCGTGAATTCCCCGAAATTCAAAGTAGCCCCCTCCTCTGTTATCAGCTTTGACCTGACGGCCCCCGGGGTCCGGGTCCCATTTCAGAATGACCTTTTCGAGGTGATAAGGGGCACCTCGAACGGGTGCTGATCAACACCGGCATTGCCTGCATTCAATCTATTCGTTGCGAGGCGACACCTCCCAATAAACAGCTGGCCCTTGCAAATTGCACCCGATTATCGCTACATACGAATAGGATACGGTGGAGCAAGTGGACGGCAAGTGCAAAGAAAATCATGGAAGTAGGAAAGCGGAAGTTTTTAACGGGAATTGACAAAATAGAGATAGATAGCAAGAGTGAGAGAGAGAAAGAGAGAGAGTGAGAGAGAGAGCGAGAAGGATAGAGAGGGAGCGGGAGAGCGAGAGCGAGAGAGAGCGATAGAGTAAGAGAGCGGGAGAGAGTGTGAGAGTGAGAGAAAAAGAGAGCGTGTGAAAACGAGAGCTAGATGTATAGAGCAAGTGCGAGAGACAGAGAGGGAGAAAGAGAGAGAGGGAGAAAGAGAGAGAGAGCGAGAGAGAGAGAGTGATGGGGCCGGATAAGGCGTTATTTTGTTTAAGAAGTTTCTAAATTGCTAAAAGTTGTTTCTAAAAGAATCTAAGTTGCTAAATTTCTAAAAATTCTAAATTTGCCGCTCACGACTTCGCCCGTTAGCCTTTCCCCATCCAGAAAGTAGATGGTCATCGACTTCAAGCTGGACAAATTCTATCGGTTTTGAGCAAGTTAACTCGATATCAAGCTCACAAAAATGCCAAGCATTTCCGGAAGTTCTGCACTGCGGAAGTCAGCTCCCGTCATTAGTGCATCGTCTAATTTCTAGAAAAACCTATCGAATATTCGAAAATTTTCGTAATGTTTCGTAATTTCCCATTCCTCGAGGTCAAGCAGCTCCTCAGGGTTTCCGGGGGCCATTACTCATTTCCGATGACGTCCGCTAAATACCGAAAGTTTGGACTCGCCTCAAAATGTGACTTCCGCCCTTATCTCGACTGAATTTCGGGCAGAAACCACGTGTTCTGCAAGCAGAAACCTGGGGTGCCCCGGCAGCTACAAGAAGGTTCTCTTTACACCCCCTCCAGCTGGGGAGGTCGTAAAAATTGTTTCTCTCATCCCATTCTTCCGCTCATTACCCTCATAAAGCTGGGCAAATATTGTCTCTCTCTCTTCCTAGTCATATGTATGCATTCCTTTTCGCGCCTGTTTTCCATTATCGATCGGCATTCCTTCAATATTGATTGTTCTTCAGATCCGCATCGACGCGCATCTCAACACACCCGAAAGGTTTATCGTTTGATGATCGCTGCTGCCTCTGTAAGTTGAATTTTGTAGTTTTCAACTGACTTGTGAGGTTGCAGTCTGTAGTGTAGTGATGAAATCCGGGCCAAAAGGCTTAGAATCGGCATTTTTCGATGTTACCTATAGCTTATCGTATCATAACGTACGCAAGCGTATATAATTTAGTATAGCATCGCCTATCGTAACGTATCGTAGCGTATCAAAACGTAGCGTAGCGTACTGTTGCGAACATGCCATAAACTACTGAAGGTCGCTAGCACCTATCGTCGCTGACGGTCGCGTATCGTCATTTATCGTAGCGTGGCGTAACGGACCGTAGCCTTAAGCTTACCTTATGTAAGGTATCGTACCGTACTGAAACGCACCGTCGTTGAGCGTAAAATATCGTAGCTCAACGTAGTCTAACGTACTGTCACTTACCATAACTCAATAATTTCAGGTGTGCTCGCACAAATCCTCGACGCGTCCCCAACGCGCTCGCCCGATCGTAGACAAGAAGCTGCGAGCGATCGACATCTCCCACCAGCAGCTACAGTAAGATTTTTTGTTTATCATACTCTTTAAAGGGCTAAGTCTTCGTTTCGATGATATCTGATTCCATTACAGTACGCTGCCTGGCACCGTAATCGAGAATCGTCTGACGGTCGAGCATCTGATCGCCGATGGGAACGTGCTGAACGAAAACGCGCTGCATATCCCTGCATTTCCTCGGCTGAGGACTCTTTCGCTGAACGCGAATAAGGTGAGGCTTAACGTCTACGCGAAGCGGACGCGTTGCGCTTCGTACGGAGCAAGAGGCGCCGCCTTGGAGTGACGCGTTGCGGACACGGCGCGGTTTGCTAAAAATGATAGAAACACGGGAGGCGGGGAAGAAAAACGCTACGCCATCAGCTTTTTCAATCGAAAACGCAATAAAAACATTACCGCGCAGCGATTCAAGAACACGCGACGCACCCGCACCGCGTTCAAAGCGAGGCGTATCCTAAAACTATTTTTCCAGATCCGCAACGTTTCCCTCCTACTCCAACATCTTCAAGAAGCCTGCCCAGCCTTGGAATTTCTCTCTTTGATCGGAAATCCCGGCTGGCCTCATCCTATCCATAAGAAGGCCGATCTTTCCACCTACCGCCGTCATCGGTACGTTTCGGACCCTCATCTCGAATTCATAAAACAGAACAATAAAAAAAACCAAATACCTTAATCTTTCCAGCCAGTTGACGGCCCGTGCGCTGCCGCGTCTCCAGTTTCTCGACGCAGCCGAGGTCCGTCGGAAGACATCAACCTCCTCGAACTCGTCGTTCTCCACCAGCTGCTCAACGCCGTCGCCGCCTTCGACACCGGAGGTATGGATTTTTTGATTTTTTCAAAGCAAAATTTCTCAAAAATTCCTTCTTGTTCTTCAAAAGCCTTTTTTCAGTTCACCCCTCCACCGTCACCGCTTCCGGATCCGATCCGGAAGGCCCGGCGTCACTCGGATCGCGACACCGACAATAGTAGCGTCTCGTACTCATCCGACGACGAGCTGCCATCATCGTCTAACTACCTGAAATAAGCTCCCGAAGCTCCCGAAGCTCCCCAAGTCGCTCAAGTTCCCCAGCCAAATTTCATAGCTCTTTCACCTGAACCCAACTTTGATCGTCAAAACACCACCCTGATGCGCTAATTTATCGGCCTACCGTAATCCCCCCTTATAGCCCTCGTTGGTTCCGTTACATTCCTGTGTACATACCTTGTTAACCCTTTCTTTAAATTAGCTCCCAAATGTTATTTCATAAGTTATACCCGCACTTTTTGATACCAGACTTTCGTAACATGTCCAACCATCTTCCTATAGCTTAGCCGATACTTTAATTTAACACTATTTTTGTATATTATGGGATAAAATTTGGAACAAATATTGTCGAACTGAGTAAAAAATCGAAACAAGATTTACAGAGGAAAAATGAAAAAAATTCGGGGAAATTTCGTTGTCTCTTGCGTGTTTGCTCCCTCACTCTCTCTATCGCTCTCTCTTTCTCTTTCTCTCTCTCCCTCTCTCGCTCTCTCTCTCTCCCTCCCTCTCTCTCTCTCCCTCTCTCTCTCTCTCTCTCTCTCTCGCTTTCACTGTAGCTCTCTTTCGCTCGCACTCCCTCCCGCCCTCTCTCGCTCTCTCTCACGCGCGCTCTCTCTAACTCGCTCTCTCTAGCTCTCTATCCCGCTCTCTCCTTCTCTCTCTCTCTCTCTCTCACTATTTCTCGCTCTCTATTTATCTCCCTACCAGGGTTGAAAAACCGCTTCGCGGCTTTTCAACCCTGGCCCCGTCCAGGACCTGTGAAAGTCCTTAATTTGCATGTGTCTCCCTGAATTCTAGCAAAAAAAAAAGTGAAAAACGGCTCCTCTGTCCCTTTATATAGGCTCTTCCTACTTCCGGCGCATGCTAATTTCCCCTAACAAACAGGGTTTTACAAAAACCTATTTTTAATAGCGAAAACCACAATTTTTCAAAATTTTTATGTGTGTGCAGTCGATTCCGGACCATTCTAAACCTATTGTCGTTTCTTCCCTATCCAAAAAACCCTTCCCCGAGGCTGTAGGAGCGGAACATCCTAACGGAAGTGCATGCAAATATACACACACACACACACACAGACACTATTTTTTTATATATAGTAGGATCGCTCTCGATTTATCTAGTTTTCTCGACAATTAAGTTAGATGTCCATAAATTTGCATACGGCAGCATTCAAAAACCCAAAATTGGATTTCACTAAATTTGCATATTCTTCCACATTCCTTTCGTTCCCCAAAAATCGGTCATTTTTCTAGGAACTTCGCGCAATTTGGTAGGCTTCAATTTGTTTTCTAAACGATGATTTTTGAGGGCGATTGTCATTGTCAAGTGCAACACGGCGTTACCTGAGATTTTGTGGGTTACCGTAGTCCATTTATCGATTTTTGTCGAATTTAGGCGAAAATGGATTCGAAACGGGTCATTGACGTCTTCCCGCGGCCGGACATTACGCGCCCGCGCTGGGACCAGAACACCTACCAGGGGAGGTGGGTGAACCAAAAAGGTCACACGCAACGCGCAAAGCCGTTTTTTCATTGCGTGATGCATTACACCATATTTTAAACGGTAAAACGGCCTGGAAATCCATAGCTTTTCCTTGCCCGCCCCTTTAAAATCCACACCCTCCCAGGGCCCTCCACTTCTTCACGACGATCAACCCGCTGAACGCGTTCGCCCTGCCCTCGACGCTGGAGAACTGCAAGACGATTGTGCAGGGATACAAGTAGCTTTTTGCTTGCGGTATATGACTGAGCTCAATCTTAGGAAGGGCGAGATCGAGCCGAGCCTGACGGTGGGGCAGCTGTGGAAGGCCAAGCACCTCTACGACTCGGCCTTCCATCCGGATAGCGGGAATCTGATGTTTCTCACCGGGAGGATGAGCTTTCAGGTATATTCACGGGCTCTCTTGCTCTCTCTCTTTCCCATCTCCCTGTCTCCGGCTCTCCCTCGATCTCTCTCCCTCTCTCTTTCTCCCTCCCTCGCTCTCTCTCTCTCTCTCTCTCTCTTCCTTTCTCTCGCCATCTCTCTCTGACTACTAGCTACACTATTTTCAGGTTTGGGGCAACATGTTGCTGACGGGCGGCATGCTGGCCTTCTACCGCCAGTTCCACCATGTCGTTTTTTGGAATTGGGTAGGTTTCCCTCGCTCGCTCTCTCTCGCTCTCTCTCTCGCTCTCTGTCTCTCTCCCTCCCACTGTCTCGCCTTAAATCTCTTCTTCAGCTAAACCAAAGCTTCAACGCCCAAGTCAACTACACCAATCGATCCGGGCCGCATGCAGCTTCGGTAAGATTTTTCGCTTCCTGCCACTTTCCCTTTAAAACATAAATTTCGGTTTTTCTAGAATGAGCGTCTCCTCTTCTCGTACATATGCGCCACGGGGGCGGCCGTCGGCTCGGCGTTGTACCTCAACTCTTTGGTCAAGGTTGGCGAGGAGCACAAAGTGAAACTTCTGGAATTCAGGACGGCAACAGCTTCAAGGGCCGCCTCGTCCCGTTCGCCGCCGTCGCCGTCGCAAACGCCGTCAACATTCCGATCATGAGGAGCACGTGAGCGAGATTTTCAAACTTTTTTTTGCTTGCCGGTGCCTTTAAAGCCATGGGCTCTACAGTAGGCTAGGTTCCGTCACGTTTTTCTGAGCGTGATTCTTTGGCATTATCGGGGGGGAAGGGGAGGGCGATTTTTTCCAAGGTAAATTTTTTTGATATCAATAAAGCAATGGTTTCTAAACTGTTTTTATTATTGCTAAACGCTAAAACTTTTTTTACAACCTTACAACTTTTGCTAAAAATAAAGCATAGATTGTCGACCAAAAAGGCTAATTTTGGACCAAAATTTTGTTTAAGGTTTTTTGTGAAAGTCTTTTTTGCACTGGAAATAATGTTAAATTTTGCTAAAAAAATACTTACTATCACATCCCGCGACTTATCAAACCTCCCCCCACATAACGCGAAAGTACCCTCCGGCTTAAGTGCAGTTTACCCCCCCAGCCCAGCTCCTCAGCCATACGTCCCTATTAATGCGCCGAGTATCTCAAAATGTTCGCCGTGGTCGAAAACCCCTGGAAAAGTTGTTTGCTTGCGCCAAAAATTGTTAGAAAATTTTTTACAAAATTTTGAAAGTTGAAAAGATTAAGCCGCTATGCATCAATGTACCAGGAGTCAAAAACTCAAATTTTTTTGTTTTCCGCTATTTTTTTCGACCCAAGCGTACTGTAGGCTTATTCTACAGATACATTTTGGTACCATTGACAGCTCTGTACGATTAAAGATAGCCGAGATACGAAAACTCACTTTGGAACAGCAAAATTAACTAAAGAAAACCCAGACTTATAATTCTTATAAAAAAATTTTTAACAATTTTTGGCGCAAGTAAACAATTTTTTCCCGGGGTTTTCGACCACGGCGAACATTTTGAGATCCTCGGCGCATTAATAGGACGTATGGCTGAGGAGCTGGGCTGGGGGGTAAACTGCACTCTAACCTACCCTCCAATTTTGCAGCGAATTCGTGAAGGGGATCCCAGTGGAAGACCGTGATGGTCAGGTGCTCGGCGAGTCGAAGCGAGTCCCGAAGATTGCCGTCCCGCAGGTTGGCGCAGTGGATTGGGGCGGAGTTTGGGGGTTTAGGGGTCCGGGTTTCAGCCTTAGCGCGGAAATAATTTTGCTTTCGCATGAATTTTTAAATTTTTGAAACTTTAGGTGGTGCTCTCGCGGATCGGGATGGCCGTGCCGAGTTTTGGTGAGGAGCTTTTCGAGCATTTTCGAGTAGTTTAGCTGTCGTGCTCCCTTTAAACGGATTTAAAAAACATGTTTTTTTTAGTCGGAATCCCGTTGATCATGAACGTGATCACGAAGAAAAAGTGGTACCACGCGCGCCCGTGGCTCGGCGTACCGATCCAGACGGCGCTCGCCGGCCTGTGTCTCGTCTTCTCCACCCCGCTGTGCTGCGCCCTCTTCCCGCAAAAGAGCAGCATCAAGGTTTGTTTTGGGCTTTTTGTGCCGGCATTTCGGAACTTTTCGTACTTCCCGAAGAGGTCGGAGCTGTAAATCTCGCATCGGGGATCGTATAAACCCGTAATAACCCTTCAAAAAAAAACATTTTTGTACTTTTCGAAGTTTTTGCGACCGTAAAATAGCTCTAAAAACCTAAAAAAAGCTGTAAAATGCATTTAAAAATTCAATTGGCAAAAACAATAACTTTTTATTATTTGCCAGTTTACATAAACGGAATTTGGCCCTGAATTTTTTCGGAATTTTGCTTGGCCGTCGAAGCCAAATGACACAGCAAGCAAAATGACGAATTTTTGACGTGGTGATTACACATTCCGTAGAGAGTAGTTCTCGTAATTTTTGGCTCATCTCATGATTCGGTCTCTCTCTCTCTCTCTCTCTCTCGCTCTCTCTCTCGCCTCGTGGCCATCAGAAATTTGGCCCCTTGGCTATTTCGGCACCACTCATCGCGCCAGGCTTATCTTTTTTGTTACGAAGGGGAAGATGACGTGTCTGTGATTCTATCGCTCTCTCTCTCGCTCTCTCTCGCTCTCTCTCTTCTGGTGAATCATCGCCACGACAAGAAGTCTGCAACAGGGCCGTGAAGCGCCTGTGTTTTGGAGTCTTTAAAAACACGAGAGCGAGAGAAAAAGAGAGCGAGAGAGTGAGAGTGATAGAGAGAGCGAGAGAGCAAGCAAATGAGAGAGAGAGTGCACTAGAGATAGAGCGTACAAGCCTCTTCAAAAACTTGTTCGTTTCCAGGTGTCCCTCCTCGAGCCCGAGCTCCAAGCCTACATCCGCAGCCGCCCCAACCCGCCGGACGTCGTCTACTACAATAAGGGGCTCTGAATGCCTCTTTTCCGCTCAATTTTTTCCGCTTAATTTTACGCGTCGAATAAAGCTTAATTTCTTATGGTCTTGATTATGGAACATTTTGGAAAAGCCGAAGATTCCCACGATTATCCGCTTTTCGTGCTTCCATTTGGCTCGCTTCGATTCGATTTTCAGCGTCTGGACCAAATCGTTGTTGCCTGCTTCCTTTTTTCTATGCTTTTCCCGTTGAACACCACATTTCAATGCTTCCCTAAAAGCTTCACAATCGATAAGCCACCGGCAACCGGCTGCGGGGGCCTGGTTTGAGGCTTTTTGATGGCCGGAAAAATGGCATTTTTCTTTTCATTCTTTTCTTTTTTAACAAATCCAAACAAAGTTTTTCTCAGCTCAATTAATTTAAAACGCTCAAAAAAAATTTATTCATACCTTGAAATTCCAGAAATTTTAAGCAAAAATTAGCATAAAATTTTTCGCGGAAAATGGCCGTTTTTCGATGCTTTTCCGAGTTTCTAAAGCTTTTCAAATGAAAAACATATGGTTTAAGTATAAAAAAATCTCTAAAAATTGTTAGACCCTTTTAACAACAGTAAAAACCTACAAATTAGGTTAAATATGTGGTTTCAAAATGGCAAAAATGCTCTAAAATCAAAATTTTGCATTTTTGTACCTGGAACTCGAATTCTTGGTTTTTTAAGGTATAGAAATTACAAAAATTCTTTAAAAAAGTTGTTGTGCTAAAAAGAAACAATACCGTAACCCCAGAGGGGCCCTCAAGGTATGAGAAACCTAAAAAACCGCCTACTTCCGTGTTTTAGCCGCGTGTTTTATCCGCATATCAAACCTTTTTCGCTCCAAAAAACCCCCGCAATCCCAGGAGATGAGCCCTGAAACATGGCTACATGCCTTTGTCTAAAGCACTAGCAAAAGAAAACGATTTTTCCGAGGGTGGGGGCCCTTATCACACTTCTCACTCCAGGGGGGAGAAGCCGACATGGTTCGGGTGGCTCTTCCTGTATGCGTGTCTCTCCTCCCGGTGTGTGAAAAGCTGTCTTTTTAGGGTCCAGCCCCGGCTTGGTGTGCTCTTTTGCCTTCCGAATGTCCTTTTTATAAACCGATTATTCAGGTCTGGAGGCCAGGAAAACTTCGTTAAGAATTTGAGTGGCGGCTACTCCTTACCCACCGTTCCCGCTCATCACGGGTTTTTGAATAGTACCAAATCTCTACCTGGCTTCAGTCCACAAGGAAAATGTAAAAAATTAGCTCCAACTCTGGAAGCTTTGGTAGAGCTCGTGCTCCTCACCCACCCTATTGGGTCTGATTCTCAAATCCGCATGAGCTTTTATTTTGTCTCTTCGACAAACTATGTGCTTTTTGCTCTCTCTCTCTCTCTCTCTCTCTCTCTCTCTCTCTCTCTCTCTCTCTCTCTCTGGCTTTCGCTCTCTCTGGCTCTCGCTCTCTCTCGCTCTCTCTCGCTCTCTTTCACTCTCACACACGCGTTCTCTCTCCCCCCTCCCTCTCTCTCTCTCTCTCTCTCTCTCTCTCTCTCTCTCTCTCTCCTTCCCTCCCTCTCTCTCTCTCTCTCCTTCTCTCTCCTTCTCTCCCGCTCTCTCTCTAGCTAGCGCGCTTTCTCTCTCCCTCTCGCCCTTTCAATGGACGCCGAACTTTTGGATTTTCGAGTCTACTGTTTAAATATATTTTTGAATAATGAATCGGCATGATTGACACCTCCGAATTTTTCAATATTACCGCCCTCACTTCCGGTGATACCATTGCTAATTTCGACCCAGAATCCGTTGCAATCGTCGACTTGGGGCAGCCTCGCTTGGGTGAGGCTGCTGCCGGCCGGCCGATGTTTTGGAAGTGGCGGGCAGACGAGGGGCTGCTGTCCGTACTCGTCCTTCTACTAATTCTTGACATTTCGACTACTGACGGCACTCCGGCCCTATTTTCAAGTCAAGCCGAGCCGCCGCTGCTGCACGCCTCCCGGTCACCGGTCAGTAAGCCAGCCATTAATGAAATGTTTAACCGGGAATTCGTGTTTTTTTTGTTCCGGCTAGGCTTTTTTTAAACGCTATTGAATAGAGCATCAAAAAATGAAAGACGTATTGACCAAAATATCTCCCCCCCCCCGGCCGATTAACTCCCGCCCCATCCCCCCCCCCCGATAACGAACCAGAACCAAGTAATCGCGTATTTCCAGTTCCTCGACCCGATGCCGATCCGAATATCGCCGAACGTGTGCAGCTCGGATGTAGAGGTGCTTGGACAGCTTCTTAACATCCTCTTCAGACACTCGTCGTCATCCATTCGGCCGAGGGCAACTACCAGCGACGGGCCGTCATACGCCGAACGTTTGCCCAGAAATATCTGAAGGCAAAGGTACGGTACACTACGGAACACTCCCCTACGCTGTCGTACAGCTACAAAAAATCCCATTCCAGTACAGCTTCCAAGTGCTATTCGTGGTCGGCGAGGACGCGAATATGCCGATGTTTCAAAAGTGTGTGATTTTGGGGGATAGATTTGCCTGCAGGGTGCCTTTAAAGGTTCTACGCTGCTTTTTAGGTGGACCCGCCAAGAATCGGACATGTACGGCGACATTCTGCAGGGCGGCTTCGTCGACATCTACAAGAACTTGACAATAAAGGTATTTTGGGATGCGGGTTTTAACGGGGCCGTGACATGCCTGTATTTCTTCCATTTTTTTAGCATTTACCTAGTTTAACAGAATACGAATTTTTAGAGCCTCCTCTGGATGCGGTACGCGGTTGCCAACTGCCCCTGGAGTCGCCACATCGTACATCTCGACGATGACGTGATCATCGACGTCGACACCATTTTTCATAACCTCATCAAGTTCGTAGGATTTCTCTCTCTCTCTCGCTCTCGCTCTTTCTCGCTCTCTCTCCAAAAAAAATAAATTTTAGCCCGGAACTCGGCGAGGAACTGATCATCTGCATGGGAAACTCTTACCACGACGCGATAGTGCATAGGGACCCGGAAAATCGATGGTAGGGGTTTTAAAGGGACTAGGAAGTCAAAACCCTGGCTTTTCGGTCGCTTGAAAACCGGATTTCGTTTAAGGGGTATATGTCGGCTACGCGGGGGGGGGGAACTTTACGCGGGACGGACGGACTGTTGGGGCCGAGCTAACTATTTTTTTGCATTTCTTTTTGCTACAAACAAAACTCTTAGTATATTTTTTGGCGCTCTGTCGAATGGCACTCAAGAAATTTTGTAAAAATGCCGAAAATGTCGAAAATTTGATTTCCTTCTATATCCTCCATGAAAACAACGTTTAATACTTGTTTTTGTTATAACTATTTTATATTACATTATTTTGAGCTAAAATTAAAACTCTTAGTATATTTTTGGATGCTCTATCGAATGGCATCTTTAAAATGTCGAAACAATATCGCGAATATCGAAAAACAGCCGCGCATACCGATTTTCAAAGCTTATTTTTGTATTTGCCATAATTTTTTTATATTATACTAATTTTAGCTAAAACAAAAACTCTTAGGATATTTTCCGATGCTCTATCGAATGCCGTTGCGAAAATTCCGAGAAAATAACGAAAACATCCAAAGAGGCCTGCCTGTCCCGTCCCCCCGCGTAAAATTCCCCCCCGCGTAGCCGACATATACCCGTTTAAGGTACGTCCCGCTGGAGAGCTACCCGGCTTCCGTATTCCCTGACTACTGCGCGGGCGCCGGTGGGTCTCGCTCTCTCTCACTTTCACTCTCTCTCTCTCACTCTCTCGCTCTCGCTAACTCTCCCTATTCTAGCGTACGTTCTTCCAATGGACGCGGTCCCAAAATTACTCGAAGCCATTGACTCAATCCCTTACATTACGGTAGGGCGTAAAGAGGTGTACTTTGGAATCATGGGTTTTTAGATAGATGACGTGCTTATTACCGGGATTGCCAGGGTGAAGGTTGGGATCGAGATACGACAGCTACATCCGTGAGTTGAAAATCTTTCTCACTCACTCACTCTCGCTCTCTCTTGCTCTCTATCTGTGTCTCTCTCCTGCATCTCGCACTTTAGAGCCGGTCTCCTCGGCGCCTCCTCCGATGTCGTCATCGAGAAGTTCCAACAACGAAAAATCGTCGTCGGCGAGTGCCACAGCGTCGTCGACTCGGAGCGGATATGGCTGGAGTGAGCATGACCTACCAGCCTATTAACTTTACAACGAAAATTAGCAAAATACCGTAAATTTCAGCCTCGAGCAACGTCTCATCGAGCCGACGCAAATGCTGAAGCTCGAGCAGGTGCACGTCGAGTTAGTCACGAATGATATGAGCATCAACCCCAGTTTTTTACAGATTGAGCAGCACCTCCTTCCTCGGCCCGGCGCTGCTCATCATCGGCGTCAACCTGGTGCTCATCTTCGTCGCGTTGCGCTACTTCCGGCCGAAGAGGCTCTCGCGGCTCTTCCGACGCTCCATGCAACGCATCTCCTCGCAGACGCCGCTCAACAACCTCATAATGCTCAACGCCTAGGCTTTCTTGGCTTTAAAGGGGTGGTGACAGCCGTATTTCTCATCGAAAAAGAGGGAGAAGGGCAAAGATTTCCTTGCTGTCACATCCCCTTTAAAGCTCGCCCTCCCATTTCCCCACCCCTACTTCTTGGTGTGCTTAATTCGCTTGAATTTCATTGCCTCTGATTCGCTATTTGCTTCCAGAATTTCCGGCTCGTGCTCCACGTTCATTTCTCTGCCTCCTCCTCCCCCCTCAATCCATCTATCGGGTGCTAATTGTTTTAATTGCCATCACCACTCACACACTTCTTGCCATATACTCGTATCTCTTGCTCCAAATTGTGTGCCTTTGGATGATAAATGTATTTTGGGTATCTTACGGGAACTGTACCAACTTCAGCGTGAGCGAATTTACGTATTTAATATCTCTCACTCTCTCACTCTTTCTCTCTCTCTCTCTCTCTCTCTCTCTCTATCTCTCTCTCCCTCTTTCTTATCGTCTAGACAACAACTTATTCCACCATATTTATTTACTTTTCAGAAGAAAAGATATGGGTTGAGCAGTGGCTTTCGCACCACATATCAGTTGTCGCGTGTGGTTTTTGTAAGGCCCTGTCGTGAGCAAAATCGATAGGGCATAAATATGGACGTACCAAGGGAGCATCACCGAAACCAACAAGTTATTTGCTAAAAATATTTTTGGTTACAAAGATGAGAGAGAGAATGCGAGAGAGAGAGAGAGATAGAGCGTGTGAGAGAGAATGAGAGAGATAGAGAGAGAGAATGAGAGAGATAGAGCGAGTGAGAGAGAGAATGAGAGAGAGAGAATGAGGGAGAGAGAGAAAGAGAGAGAGAGAGAGTGAGAGAGAGAATGAAAGAGAGAAAGAGAGCAAAAGAGAGCGAGAGCGAGAGAGAACGAGAAAGTTAGAGAGAATGAGTGAGAATGAGAGGGACAGGAAGAGAGAGACAGAGAGAGAGAGAGAGAATCTACTGACCGGGCAATAACCACTCGACGCCTGCAAATAACACAATGGCGCTAAGCACCATCAGACCAATTGCAGAGAAAAGCGTAGATATACTCTGAAACCGTTTCCGTTTCCTAACCCCTATGAGTTCTGTGAATATAACCGAATTTTCACTTCCTAGCCCCTTTAAAGACAAGCTCCCATTTTAGTACGGAATTATCGTCACCTGGATTAACAGCCCCACAAATGCTCGACGTTGCGAATTCAGCGTCTTTGGCGATAGTTTATGCTTGACAACCCGGCTGCGGAATAGAAAATGGAACGTGGCGCCGACGAAAAAGGAGAACATTGGCCAGAAGATGATGAGCATCACAACGGTGGGCACGATATAAACATAGGAATATATGAAACGCAGCGCCTGAAGCTCCACCGGTTGCCAACCGCTGAGCGAAGAGACATTCTAAAAAAGGATCGTTTGTGGACTGTGGGCGTGCGGGGCGACCAAATTTTTCCCTGTGATCCTCTACGGCTCTATAACAAAAAAGAAACCAGTTTTATTGACTTATACATAGTTTTCAGATATCAAAACAAAACTAAAGAATAATAAAACTTTCAAAAATGTTGTAAATGAGAGAAATAAAATTTTCGTATTTTCAGAATTTTTAATAACATTTGCTATGACTTTCTAGCAATCAAAAGCCACTAAAAACACTATAAAAATACATTATCAACCGGTAGGTTTAGGTGGAAAACAGAAAGTGTTTCCCCCTTGCTAAAATTCCGCCCCCAGTAACAGTCCTGAACCAAAAAATCCGCCCCAAGCCCATAAAAAATGGGCCAGATACCATTGTCAAGGCGTACAGCTGCGGTTCGAAGGCGTAGACGATGGTCAATAACACGCAAATGAATGGAGAGATGCTCATCAGCGGCACGACGAGCGGCCTGATGCGGAACCAGCGCGCTTTGAGAGAACCAAAAACGATGCATTCGAAGCGATATTTGAAGGAAATTGCGCCGGCCCGGCAGCAGTTTGCGGCAGCAAACCCAAAAAGTCCCTAAAGTGCCGGGAATTTGTCAGTAATAGGGATGAGTTTTCTGAACTAAAATTGAAACTAAGTATATTTTTGGATGCTCTATCGAATCCGTCTGTCGAATGTCGAAAAAATGCGCGAATTATGAAACCCAGACGCACAAGCCGATTTTCAAAGGCTATTTTTGTTGTGACTTTTTTATATTACAATACTTTGAGTTAAAACAAATACTCTTAGTACATTTTTGGATGCTCTATCGAATGGCGTTGCAAAAATCACACAAAAAACGAACGAAAATATCTAAAAAGGCATCCCCCCCGCGTAAAATTGCCCCTGCCCTGCGTAGCATTTACCGAAAATATACCGAAATTTCGTCATTCTGACATTTCGACATTCTGAAATGTCGATTAAATGATTTTCGACATGATGACAGCAAATCCCACCCAAGATATTGGATGGTTGACGCTTGACACTTTCAAAGCCAGCAGACCCATTGAAATCAACTCGGCGATGTCGTCACTTTTTCGAAAATACGGAAGCGCGATGATGGCGCATACAAGGGTGAGAAGCATGGCGGCAACCTGGAAGTTGCAGGTTTTTCTTTGGCAATACTAAACGCCTTGAAATAAAGCACCCACCAAGGTGTCAATGAGGTAGAACCTCATCTGCTGCATGGCTGCCGGGGAGGCCGAAAACGTGAGGTAGAGCAGGAACATGAAAAGCGGGGTCCCGGTTAAGATGCAGAGCGTCAGCAGCGCTTCGCGAAGTGGTAGAACGTCATATGACATTATTAGAAAGGCAAGAGAGTGGTTCAAAAAATCGAAAATACCAAGCGGAAAGGGTGGGGGGCCGTATGCTTGTGCTGCTGGTGGGCAGGTGATACTGAAGGCAAGCGTGCGTTTGACGGAATCGTAGTTCGTTCGGACGGGAACATTTTTTCCCTGAATCTCTCACGCACCCTCTCATTATCGATATTCCAAAAAATAGGTATCGAAGCATACAGGGGGTGCAAAAAAGCCCGTGGTTTGCATCAACATATCTCGGGAATGGAGACGAATAGAACCATCATTACCTTGCCAGAATGCTTAAATATGCTGGGTATGAAGAATAAACACAAGTCAAAAATGTTGTATCAGGTTGGAAAGAAAGTAATGGCACAAAATCTTTAAACCGCTGTAAAAACCCGCAGGAACGTCCGATTTGAAAGTTTGATATATGGTTTGGTAGATCCTCGGATGCTCTATCATGAGACGACCCTCAAAACACCCAAAAACTGATGAACGCGAAAATACAGGCCTCAGAAGTTTCACGGAAAATTAGGTGAAAGCTTCTAAGCGAGATATCTCTGCATACAGGCATTTGCATACGATACCTTTAACACCAATCGTTAGCCCTCAAGAAGTAGATATCGATAGATGTTGAGATCATCAAAATCGGACACTGGATTGCCGAGATATCGGTCCTCCAAAATCAATACATTTTCTCGATTTTGGTTCGGAAGCTGAAGCAAACGCAGCAGTTTTTGGCTCGCGCAGGCCTAAATGTATGGGATTTCGAGAAAAGTTTCTAAGAAGTGGATCAGATTTCTAGGGGGCATATCTCGGCAATCCAGTGTCCGATTTTGATGATCTCAACATCTATCGATATCTACTTCTTGAGGGACGATTGGTGTTAAAGGTATCGTATGCCAATGCCTGTATGCAGAGATAGCTCGCTTAGAAGCTTTCACCTAATTTTCCGTGAAACTTCTGAGGCCTGTATTTTCGCGTTCATCAGTTTTTGGGTGTTTTGAGGGTCGTCTCGTGATAGAGCATCCGAAGATCTACCAAACCATATATCAAACTTTCAAATCGGACGTTCCTGCGGGTTTTTCCAGCGGTTCAAAGATTTTGTGCCATTACTTTCTTTCCAACCTGATACATTCTTGAACAAGTAGAAAACTTTGAAGAGGAAACTCATGGAACTTTTGTTGAGCTAGGGGGCTTCAAGGGTGTTAAAATCAAGCCTATCCAATATCCAATATCCACGCGCTATCCAATAACTGGGAAAGATTTTTGATTGAAACTACCTGTGAATAGGGGCATTCGGAAAATACGATATCGTGGAAAGAAGAGTGAGGGAGGGAGAGAGAAAGAGAGAGAGAGAGAGAGAGAGAGAGAGAGAGAGAGAAAGAGAGAGAGAGAAAGAGAGAGAGAGAGAGAGAGCAGGGAGAGAGAGAGAGAGAGAAAGAGATAGAGAGAGTGAGATAGATAGAGTGCTAGAGAAAAATAGAAGGCGAGAGCGATGGTGGGCGAGAGAGATACAGTCCGCGTCATAATGATAGGTTCACCCCATTTTAGGACAGCTTGTTAATCTAGAATAAGTTTCGGATAAAACGGGCGTTGTAATCAGTTAGGGCATAGCTCAAAACCTTCAAGGCCATTATCCATTTGGTTAGAAAAGGCTTCTAGATTTCGAAGGAATTTTATCTCAAAAAAAGGCTTACTGGGACCCGCGTCATAAAGATAGGTTCTCCCCGAATTTTTCCGCAAAAATCATGCATTCGGACTTTACTTATATTTTTAATTAAGTAGCATTGAAGTATACATGAGTTTCCTATACTTGGTTTGACTCGAAAGGTTTCAGGGATTTTTTGCAAAAGTCGATTTTAACAAAGAAATTACTATTTTTGTGGCAATACGGGCTGGATTTAACCGGAAGCGCAAGTTCCTTTTATGGACTTGAAAGAGCAGCTCAAGACAAGCATTTTGGTATATAACAACGTCTTTGGCTTCGGCGATATTGGGGTGACACACACGAAGAAAGTTGGGATGGACTGCGCAAGTAAGGATTGGCGGCCATTTGTATGGGCCCCAGTAGGTTCCATGTTTCTAGACCTGTATCTTCGTGAACACCTTAGTGCCTATAGCCGTTTATATACCAAAATGCTCGTCATTAAGTGCTCTTTCCGAGATCGCCTACATACTAAAAATTGAAAACGAGTATCGCCGGATAATCCTAAAAAAGTGTGATTTCTTTGTTAAAATCGACTTTTGCAAAAAATCCCTGAAACCTTTCGAGTCAAACCAAGTATAGGAAACTCATGTATACTTCAATGCTACTTAATTAAAAATATAAGTAAAGTCCGAATGCATGATTTTTGCGGAAAAATTCGGGGAGAACCTATCTTTATGACGCGGGTCCCAGTAAGCCTTTTTTTGAGATAAAATTCCTTCGAAATCTAGAAGCCTTTTCTAACCAAATGGATAATGGCCTTGAAGGTTTTGAGCTATGCCCTAACTGATTACAACGCCCGTTTTATCCGAAACTTATTCTAGATTAACAAGCTGTCCTAAAATGGGGTGAACCTATCATTATGACGCGGACTGTATAGGCAGAGAGAGTGACTAAAAAAATTTATCGAACAAGTTCTGGAAAGGAGAAGAGGAAGGAACAAAATGGAGGTGAAAAGGGTATTAAGCTAGAAGAGCTAATAATCCTGATGTAAAACCCTGTTCAACTGATTTAGATTTATTAATCCAAGCCATTCAGTCCTCATAGATGCAACCCTTGGGCGGTTTGACATAGTCGCGGCAGTAAACTGGCTGACGCCCGATGTAGAGTAGGGGTACTTTTATATGATTGACCTAAAATTATGATTGATTTTGAGGGCAGTGGGAAGTGTCAAAACCAAGCGATTCTACAACCAGGTGCCGATAGCTCCGATTTCGGTTTGAAACTTCGACATACCTCCTTCCGCTCATCCGACGAGCTCGAGCTCACTCTATCGCCACGATGAGCGACCAATCCATGGAAGCCAAGAGCCAACACGGACAGGAAAATGTAGAGCTTCATTTCGATGAAAAACCCCCTCCACAAGACACTTTTATAGCTTTTTTCTTCGCGGCGTGGGCGTAAAATTATGCAACAAATTCGGCGAGGTCAAGGAGCAGACGTAAAGCGTTTTCGATCTTTGCTTTTTGACCCCTTTGGTTGTTTTTGAGCATTCTTTATCTTTGTAAAACCACTGGTAATTCAGATGATCAATCATTCCGTGCGCGAGCTTGAAAAAGTTTCCGGATCCAAGCTTCGACAGCTGAAATTAGAGGTTAGAATTCCTTGAAGTGCTACCATTTTCTCGCGCACATCCTGGCGGAGGGAGCACATAGTCGGCGCAGAATACCGGTGGACTGTTGATGTGATGCTATGGAAAATGAATGTGGCTTGTAATTATACTGTCATTAAAGCGCACGTTCAGGGAGGGGCCGTGTACTCGTCCCAACGTGTACACCCTATGGACGTAGGGATCGCGCGCACGGCCTACCCGTGCTGTGACAGGCCATTCCCCTCCTTTGCGGCGTGGGGCGCCCCTCGCCCCCTCGCCAGGTTGTAGCTGTGGCTAACTGGTATACATCCGCGCCTCCCGAGCGGGGGGCCCGGGTTCGACCCCTGGCTGCGGCAAAAATCTTTGCTTTTTTCCCAAAAAACGTCCCTGAACGTGCCCTTTAAAGGGGAACCCAACTGCCAAATCTGGGAAGCCTTTTGATTCCTGGCAAATTGCCAGCAGGCGCTGTGCGGACGAGTGCCCTCGCTCTTTTCCTTCCTCGCTTAATTTGAGATAGTTTTGGTGTTTTCATCGTAAGATTGGGCCCAGAAACAGTGGTTAACGTGATTTGGGGGTGATTTCCTGCGCCCCTGGGCGTACAGAGGACACCAACGTACAGGGCTCCGGTTTTCGGGCCGTAACGCAATTTTTGGCATTCGGGGTCCCTTTAATGTAGCTACTTTGGTCTCGTTAGAAAAATATGATGTCTGACGTGTAAGAACGTATCCTGCATGAAAGAAACTCCTACGTGATCTACGTGATGATCCCACGCCATCAAATTAGGCATAAAGGTGAAGACGATGTAATAGAGGATATACAGCCTGACAAGCATGATTTGTCAGCAATAGCGGCAAGATTATCCTGCTTTTTATACAGTCCATTCGGGCCGACCACGGATGCGTGGGTGTCCGGATTTTCGGAACACCAGCGGCGCCAAAAAATCTCTATCCTTTTTTGAACAGGACACTGGCAAAGCCGTTTGTTTATAGTTAGTATCGCTTGTCATTGATGCCTGCATTTTTTATTGCTTCAAAAGTTCACGGAAAAGCGGAAGGAGAAGAGCATCAACAGCAAAAAGTCGTCTGCCGTCATTTCCAAACGCAGCCCGGTGGCCTAGGCTTCTTGTAATCGATGCAGTATTTTGGTGGGAAATTTATGCTGGCCAGCTAAACAGATTAGATGAAGTTTGATTAGATTCGCGTTATTTAAAATACCCCAAATGGGTTCATCGTGTCCCCGGAACCTTTACGGCGCGCTACGACTCCGACGAGAAAAATCAGAACCAAAAGAATAAGGAGCTTCATGGCTATAATTTATCTTTATGGTACACTCCTCCCTTATATAGACCAACTTCCGGGTCAGTTTCTGCTCAAAAAAAGAAACGTGGGCGCAAAATAATACACAAAATTTCGGGGCATCAGCGAGCGCTCACTTTTGCTTCTGTCTGGGGCTGTTTTGAGTCTCTTTGATTTGGAAAAGAAACTGTTTATTTGACGGAAAAATCGGATAGGAATTGGCAAGTGGCGGTTCGCATTAGAAGTGCATTTTTGACGGCAATCGGTTCTTCTAAAATCAACTGATGCAATTGGCCGGTGGAGCCGTGTAGTCTCAACAATATTGTGGCGGAGGAGCGATGTGATGCTGCTAAACATGACATAACAATTTTTTAAAGATATTTTAACAAAAGAAAACCGCTGAAAAATAAGACTACCCCTCTAAACTTTTGCTTCGGTTTCATCAAACGGCATGGTGCGCCACACAACAAAGTGAGTAGTTCCAGAATTAAAACGCAGAAAAGTAGAAGACGCATCTAGAATTTCGACTAGAACGTCACACTTTCTGACCGGCGTAGCGAACGGTTGTCTCTTTGAATATCGCAGACGGATCGTGACCATTTTTTGACTCAATGTGGTCGGCCACCTCTCTAAAGTGCCCTCATCTTCGGCAAAACAGTTTGCCTGTGTCTTGCACTTTGTACCTATAATGGTTCTATGCGTATATACAGGGAATTAGGTTCAAGCCCGGTTATATTTGTTAAAGCGACTTAAAGGCACGGCCGTTTGCACCATGCATCCCTAGTAGGGTTGGCATTTGAGGAAACCGGTTTCCGATCTCTTGGATTTGAATCAATGTTTGGATTGACCGGATTGTATTGAAATCGATTTTTCAATTGCATCCGATCGATCGATTCTGCATAAAAACCGATTTGAGTATGATCCGATTTGATCGGTTCTCGAAAAACCGGTTTTTGATTCCAAACCGATCGATCGGTTTCGGAAAAAAAATCGGATTCCAGCCGAGAAACCGAGCGGAAATGAACCGATTTATGCAGAATTTTGGATGCAAATCACGATCTTCCTCATTTTTTTGTGCTGAAATTGGGGGTCAGCTCATAACTTCCAGAGCCATCATGTCTGGAAGGAATATATCCATTTTTTGGATGCTAAGAACGGCTTAGTTTCAAAAAATCGTAGGGGGACTGCCTGCCAAGCACCAAAAAAATTATTTGCATCCAAAATTCTGCATAAATCGGTTCATTTCCGCTCGGTTTCTCGGCTGGAATCCGATTTTTTTTCCGAAACCGATCGATCGGTTTGGAATCAAAAACCGGTTTTTCGAGAACCGATCAAATCGGATCCTATTCAAATCGGTTTTTATGCAGAATCGATCGATCGGATACAATTGAAAAATCGATTTCAATACAATCCGATCAATCCAAACATTGTTTCAAATCCAAGAGATCGGAAACCGGTTTCCTCAAATGCCAACCCTAATCCCTAGGCCTAATTCATTCGAAAACGACGTAAGATAGAGTTGATTTTGCCATAACTTGAAAATTACTGTCTGTATCTAACGGAAATATCCCGAGACTTTTAAAATACTTTTACGCACCGCTGTCAAAAATTTCAAATAGATTCCGCCCTAAAAGACAAAAGGCCAGCGTGACTTTTTTATTGGGACCTCCTTTAGATAAATTTTTCTCGTTTTTGTCAATATTAGATACCAGTGTGTGTGGACCGAGTTTATTGTCTTGATACTTCACAAGTAAGGAATTTTATAGCTATCACAAGGGCAATATGAGCCACATTAACAATGGTTTAGGCAGTTCTATGGCCTCGAAGCTATCATTTTCTACTACACGTAGATCTTGGGTATCAGACGATAACTAAAAATTTGGTGCCGCAATACAGTGAAATTCTTTGCAAGGAGTTCACTCACAGTAAAAACCTACTTGAGGAGCCAATGCATCCTGGGGGCGGTTTTCTATAGTCGGAGCAATACACTGGCGCTGGATTACCGTGGAGCTGAAAAATTTTGGCAGATGTTTAGCGGCAAACTTGATTTGCAGGCAGACTAAGGATTTTTGAATACCGGAGCCGCTTTTCGTCGAAAATGTATGAAAACGGACAGAAATGAGTAAAACAATGACGTAATAACGTAATTTTTTGCTATTTTTGGCTACTAAAAACTGTTTTAATACACTAAATTTGATCACTAGGTTACTAGGCTGAATACGAGCAAATGGCTACAGCCCCAATAAAAGAAAATCACTTAAAAAACTGAATATAAACAAACTTACAAGCACGGTCCTCTGCGTAGTCCCCGGCCCGGGCCAGGGATAGTTGCTCTGCGTGGCCCGCGAATTACCGTGAGCCGGAAGAGCTGTGGCGAGTATCGCCATCCCAAAGAAGAAAATCGCAAGCACGCAGAAGATTTTTGCCCTCATTTCGGTGATACAGTGCTGGATGAGGAGGGCTTTTATAGACCAGTCGACGTGACCTCGGGCCAACTTAGCAAGAAGATTTCTTTGGCCCTAAAAAAGCCGGTGTTTACGCGATCGTCTTTGACTTTAGGCGGGACCAGACCCGGGTCAGGAGGACCTGGCAACTGTCGTTTAATTTTAGGTGCTAGAAATCGGAGAACAGCAAGTACTCTCAGAAAGGATTGCTAGATAGTTCGGTAACATCATTCGATATGTCTCATACAGCGGATACGTAGCGCCCCCCGCCCTTTCCAAAGCAGAATCTGCATTATCTGATGATTTTATAAATGCTTCGGCGTGTTCGCACATTAATGTCGTAGTTGAAAATTCTAAGCCTCTCTCTCGCTCTCTCTCTCTCTCTCTCTCTTTCGCTCTCTATCCATCTCTCCAGCTGTTTCACTCACTCTCTCTCACTCTGTCTGTCTCTCTCTCACTCCCCCTCTCTCTCTCTCTCTCTCTCTCTCTCTCTCTCTCTCTCCCCCCTGAAAAATGCCTTCCGTGCTGCCAAAAAACTTCGAGTTGGCCATGTTGTTCCATCGGTCGGAAATTGATGCCAATAGCTTTGTATCGTCAAACTTTATTCAGTTCATAAAAAGACGATACGATGGCAATAAAAAGATGCTACCTACAACAAAACAGTGCAGAAAAGTTCTTGGTTAATGTGAGCCTTGATCACACGGTTTTACAAAGACATAATTTGGAAGCGACCAAAAAATAATACACTAACAGAACCCGAAAAAAATGCGACCTAAAAAGGCGGTTCCTGGCGTCTTTAACTCGACTTCACAGGGGCAGGCATGGGCTTGGAGGTGCCGTGTATTCGTGGCAATATACTGGCGGAGGGTTTATGTGCAGCTGCAAATATTACTAAATTATCAAGGCATTTTTTTTACTAGGGCGGCCTCGCGGGTAAATAGTTGCTATGCCGATTTTCGCTGTGCCGATTTACAGTACGCCGATTATTGGTATGCGGAATTTTCGCTATGCCGAATTTCGCTATGCCGAATTCTCCCTATGCCGAATTTTCACTATGGCGAATTTTCGCTATGCCGAATTTTTGCTACTCTACTACTACTATTCTCTACTAATATTAATAACTAAGATCGGCTGGGACTTTGCGGTGCAACAGAAAATCTGCTGCGCATACGGGACCTACGATCTGCCCGAGTTTTTGGAAATTTCTAGGCTAACTCTAACTTTCTAGGCCCATGATATTTGGAAAAATAGTAAGAAAAAAATGAGGGACATACCGCTTATCAAAATTGGTATGGCGAAGATTAGGCATGGTGAAAATTCGGTATCGTGAAAATCGGCATGGTGAAAATTCGGTATACCAAAAATTCAGCATGGCGAAATACGGCCTAGCGAAAATTCGGTATAGTGAAAATTCGGTATAGTGAAAATTCGGTATAGTGAAAATTCGGTATAGCGTCAATCGGCATAGCAAAATTCGGCATAGCGAATGGAACTCGGTATCGCGCGGTTGGCACCAAAGTCTTTTTATCAACCCAAGTACCTTTGGCACGACGGAAAGATAGGGGCTTTTAAAGAATTTTTTGCTTTTGGACCAGATGATTTCTGTAAAATAGCTTACCCGGAAACGATTTATTAGGATTTACACTTCTACGTAGCGTACACGCTTACTTCTAACTTTAACATTTCCCCAAGCGCCAAGGTCTCAAAATTTCCGATAGTCCTGCTTACACCCGGGGAATCTCTTGCCAAACTTTTTAAAAAAGGCTGCGTTAAAGCCTCGACAACAACACCAAGAGTTTGCTATTTCAGCCGAATAAAAAAACAAATGGCGATGGCAAAAACCCATAAAATTAGTGTTTAGTTCAATAAAAACTAGAAACATGATCGCCCAACTATCAAGAAGACGCAGATTTCATGAAAAAATGTTTTTCACATACCGAGGCATCTGCCGGGCTCACAAAGATTGACGACGAAAAGATGTTCTGAAAATGATTGATTGATAAACCAGCAGGAAATTCGGCCAGACCGCCGAGAAATCGGCTGTACAGAAAACACACATACTTTTCTCGCTCATAGGATAGGATGATGGCCAACCCAAAATCATTTCTTTTTCTTACCTCCTTAGCCCATTTTCCCCCGCGCTTGACCGCATTCCAGGTCATGTTCCAGGTATTGCTCCAAAACTTCTTGCCGTCATATATTGGCACTGCATCAACCATGAGATGCAGGCTAATGAAAAAGACGACAAGGAGGCTTGCCGACTTCATTGTACGAGACAGAGGTCTGAAGCTGTCCCAATTTCTAAAGGTTGGCCGACGTGACCTTTGGATCGCTGGTCCCACCCCAAAAAATGACTTTTTGGTCGGAAAGAACCCGGGATGTTTACCCGAAAGTGCGATTTTTTTTCTGATAGGAGCGGCCAGAATGTCTCCTGGCCGTTGGCCCCGACAACTGTCGCCAATTTTAGATTCCGCCAGGGACAGAGAACGGCCAAGGGCCTGGGAAACTCGGGTCTAGCGCTGGGATACTCTGTGCTTTTGGATGGCCTTTTCTCGGAGCTTTTTATTAAATAACGTAAGGTCATCGGAAAATGAAAATAGCCACAACCGCCCATGGGCTCGGTCCAGATGGCTACCGGGAAAAGGCGCACTGTACGTGTTTTTGGCGCGTTGCGTGCGGGTGCACGAATAGCAACAGGTTTTTAGCTGCTTTAGTAATTGCGCGACGCGTCCATCGCACGCGTTGCGGTCTTGCAGGATCTAAAACCCAGTAAGAAATGTTGTTTCCATGCGGAAATGTCGCTCTCTCGATCTCTCGGTTTTTCTGTCGTCTTTCCCCCTCCATTTCGCTGTTAACACTCCTCGATCCGTGCACAAAGAAATTAAAATTTTCGAACTAAAATAATTCGTCGTTCCACTGCGGAAATTAATGCCAATACTTTTATATCTGTAACTTTATCATAATTCGCAGAACAAAAAACTCATCTGCTCATCGGTATCTGCGCCGCTGTCCGTAATTTTGCCGTAATTCCCACACAGGAAAGCAGGGCTATCAAGAAATAGAATAGTGAAATCTTCATTGTCCTGGAAAAGGTATGAAGTGTTCCCCTTCCTCCTCGTCAAGCTTTAGGAGTCCGAGGATTAGCAAAAAAGAGGGCGCTGTCGCTGTTCCGAGATCACTTGTCCACAGGGACGTAGCGTAAGGTGGGCCCCCCTGGGCCCGGGGCCCCCCCCGAAATCGGCCGGGGCCCGAAAATTTCATAAGGGGGGACCCTTATGATTTTTATTTTCTCAAAAATTTTGCTGCCTGCGGCGCTATTTTTACACGTTTTTACTGTTATTTGTAGGGCTATGCAACCCTTTTTCCAAAATTTTTCGCCTGCGGCGCTGTTTTTGTCTTAATTTTTTGAGTTTTTCGGAAAAAATTTTTCGGGGCCCCCCCCGAAATTTTTTTCTGGCTACGCCCCTGCTTGTCCATCACTCTTTTTTTTCTGCATGTTCACGTTCTTTTGGGTTTTGGATGCGGGTAAAAGTAATTGCAAAATTCTAAATTTATTGTTTTGCAGTTGCAACAAATTATTTATATTTACGAAAAGGCCGTTATCGCAGATCATAAAATCCCATTCAAGGGCACCCATTCTGTTGTCGTTTTATTGGACTAGCATAATCGGCGCAGTCGACGCCGCCCCCGATGATGGTCTGAAAACCTTGGCTTTGCATTAACAAAATCCTGCTCTTGACTTAAGTTTTTGGCAGAAAACACACCATCATCTTCAGTCCGCGACTATGGGTCTCTCGGCGTTGAGCCTCAAGCGAAATACAAAGCAATAAGAGCAGGAAACAAAATATGACAAGCTTCATGGCCTGGAGGTCAGGGAACTGCTTCTGGTCTTTTAATACCTCCACTGGAGGTCCTCCAGACACCCAAGGATAGATCAGGGGAAACAGGCGCTCTCAAGTGTGGGCCATCTCCAATAATTACTCAAAGTGGGTGCCATTAATTTTCGCGGTCAGTTGAGGGGGCTACGTTTGATTTCTTTAGGGGATCTAAAGGTATCGTGCCGTAACCATAATGATCAAATTTTATTTTGGAAATTATCAAAAAAAAACCCGAGAATAAGGAAAATACAAAGCAATACTATACCAAAAGACGACAACATTGCAGCAAAGTCAGAATTATCGGTGTTAACAGCGGCTTTTGACAATTTTAAGGTTTATCGCTTCGAAGTCTTGGTCTCCTTGCGAGAAGTAGGTTGCGGAGGAGGCCGGGGAGTAGGAGCGAGATTCCCTAAAGCCTTGTTTAGCGAAACAAAAATCACATACTTTTTAGGCCAACACACCATTTTGGCGGGACTGTATAGTCAGAGCAGTAAACCGGTGCAGGGTTGGCGTACTATAAAATTTCACGAGAGGGGGTTGAGCAAGACTCGTCAATCCGTGAACTGGTGCTGCCTTAGCCTACCATCATGGCATTTGGTAGATGGATCATCTCGGGACCTTGACGAGGAGCGGGGAATACGAATATAGGGAACAATCACAATATATAGAGCGCAAGCTGCGGTTCCGGGAATTTTTAGAAACTGCTGGCCCGCGCAAAAACGGCTGGGCCTCGTGGAAGCCGGCTTTTTTGGCCCTAATAATCGCCCAGACCAAAAGTTTATAAACGATGAGTCAGCGCTAATCAGCTGTGTATTTTCGGCAGCAACAATACGGAAGGTTTTTATCGAATGAGGTAGGATTTCATTCGCGAAACGGTCTCAATTCTCTGACTTTAGCGCAAATCGGGGGTTCGAGTTAAGCTGGAAGATATTGATAGAACTCTTGGTGAGGTTGTTGAGCCTATTGCACCCGAATTCGGCTTCGTGTGCAAAAGATAACATCAACGTTGGTTTTATTGAAACTCATATCTTGATACGATGCGAATATTTAATCAAATATTATATCAGAACATCCACAAAATAACGCAGCAATAATGGCATTTTCCACAAACAATTTAATACGACTAAGCACGAGATTAATCACGATACAAATTAGCGATAAGCCTGTTCTTGGCCCTTGGGCTGATGTCGATGCAATCTTTCGGCGGGAACAGGTAGTGCTGACAGATTTTTGGAGGCGGGCTCCGGTCCTAAAATATCATATTTTTGTTTTTCCAGATTTTGGCTCTAAGGTAAGGCAAAAAATGCTGATTAGTTCACTTCAAATTCATAAAACTCACGAAGACTCCGCAAATCTGAAAATGGAATTTTGACCTGTTGGACTGGGGCCTAGCTTATACCTAGCTTAGGTTCAGCTTAGGCTTAGCCTAGGCTTACCTTAGATTGACGCATACTTTGCGTAGGCTTGGCTTAGGCGTAGCTTGGGCTTAGCTTAGGCTTAGCTTCTGCTTGACTCCGGCTAGGCTTAGGCTTAGCTCAGGCAGCGGTTATCATACCGAAATTCCCTCGGCAACATAACGGCATTCCTTCGATGGCCGAATAGGTCGGCGTGCTGCCATTGATTGAGAAAATACGAATAAAATCAAGAAAAATATAGCCAACTTCATTGTGTTAGGGATCAGGTTTAGCATGCGGCGTAAGTTTTATAGGTTCAGCCCCGGTAGGTTTTGGCCACGAGCCCAGCGTCAATCAGCTGGTTTTTAAAGGTATAAAAACGAAAGGGGAGCTATTGTTTCTCTCTCTCTCTCTCTCTCTCTCTCTCTCTCTCTGTCTCCCTCATGGTCTCAATCTTTGGCCTACCGCATGGACCCGGTGGGACTGAGAGTGTAGCAGCTGTTGTTTTGTTTAGATTGAGGAGTATGAGTAATCCACGTGAGCCAAAAGGTATAGCAAAAAAATTTTATTGAGTATCCATCACTTGGAAATGTATGGCAGCGAGCCTTCCCGAAATTAGCATATGGTCATCAGTAGCTGATGTTGGATATTGTCAGGTTAACGCATCCTTTTGGCGGTTTTTGATAGTCTTGACATATCGGGGGAGGTGGTATACGGTTTAGCAACGGAACCATAGGATGTCCCTTCGTCAGATGGACCAGAAGCGGATTCTGCATGGCCCGTCGAGAATCGGCATGAGGCAGGTGGAATTTCGAAAGTGAGAAATTGTTTTGAAGCTATTTTCTGCCTGTCAATTTAAAATTACTTACCTCGGGCACAGAACCGCTGAAAAACTGAGGTTTACTACCAACCATCGAGAGGAAAATAGCCGGCAATATTACGAATAAAATGATCAATTTCATTTGTTATCTACTATCTATAATTCCATGCGGAACCTTTTTATATGGGCCGACCATTAGCCACGGGCTATTAGACTGTGCCAAAAAATGAGTCAGCTTTTGTAAAGCTCTCTCTCACGCCGCTTTCTCTCTCTCTCTCTCTCTCTCTCTTTTGTGTGGCCACTGTTCGGTTCGCGGTGAGTCATTAAAAACGAATTTAGCATCATGCAGCAAGCGGAAATAAAAACACTGTAGCGATTCGGAAAAGCTCGATTCATAATAATTTCTATTGCGAGGTCCATTTCGACAAAACGAACTTGCAAATCGGAATTTCTAAAAACATAAACTTTAAACTACGCCATATCGGGGCTTGGGCAGATTCAACCGAAGCGAGAGAGAGAGAAAGAGAGTGAGAGGTAGATAGATAGAGAGAGAGAAAATTCGAACATTTTTAGTTTGGTCTTCCCCCGTTGCCACCTCCTCAAAAATGCCCATGCACTTTTTGCCGGGGTGCTAAAATGCTTGCTGCTCCATTTGTGTACACAAGGTGACTGTGTGTCTCTGCTAGACCACCCTCGCCCGGGCTTTTCCTCCATATTTGCCAAAATTTCGGGCGCTTCTTCTTTTCCCTAGTACCAACAACCCTGGTAAGCTATGATTTGCATATTCCTTGGGACCGAAATTTATCAAAAATTTGGATAGGTTAGAGGAAACTATTTCTAACAATTTGAATATTAAAAAAAATTTGAAATTTATTGAAACTATTGCAAATACTAAAATAAATACTTTCTTTTAATTATAGCCAGCGTTTTGCATATTTTCGCGTTTTAAAATTCTAAGGATTTGTCCGGAATGTGCATAAATTCAAGAAAATACTTCTAGCAATTCAATTTGCATAGTGAAAAATGGAGACAAATTATCGCAAACCTCCGTAACATAAATTAAATTGAAAGAACTATATTTTAAAATAATGCACCTATTTGCATATAATTAGTAGTTTAAATTTTCACCAAAGCTACATAAAATTAAGGATATCCAATTTTTCTCAAAAACCAATCTATTTGCATATCATTAGGAATTAAAATCACCCGAAAATTTGTATAAAACTTAAGGAAATCGGGGAATTCTTAGAAAAATACAGACATTCTCGTTTTTTTCCGCGGCTTGCTTAGGTTTGTGCCTAGTTTTCAAGCTTGCCAGCTAAAACCCAAATTTTCCAGCTCGAAATGGACTCGTCGGTGGTGGAAAAACAACCGCAGGGGCCCGAGTACGAGCTGCCGCCGTGGCACCGGATGTTCGAGCGGGAGGTGAAGGAGTTCCAGCAGTTCCAGAGCTTCAGCTCTTCCAGTACCTGCTCCCGATCGTGTTCTACTTTGCGATCTGGCGCTGCGGGGCGTACTACGCGCAACGGAACTGCTGGAACGGCTACGAAGTGTCGGCGTTCACGTGAGTGATAAATTAGCTCACAGCGCGTGTCACGAGAGAGAGCCAGAGAGAGAGAGAGAGCAATAGAGAGTGAGGGAGCGAGAGAGCGAAAGAAAAACAGAACGAGAGAGAGAGAGAGCGAGAGAGCGAGAGAGCGAGAGAGGGAGAGAACGAGAGAACGAGAGAGCGAGAGAGCGAGAGAGTGAGCGAGTAAGAGAGAAACAGAGAGAGAGCGAGAAAAAATTTAAAGTTCAATATCCCCTTTCCAGGCGCTACCGACTGCGTAACCTGACGGTGTGCCTGTTCCACGCCGCCTTCACCGCCATCTCCACTCTGGTCTTCATGGCCGTCTATCCGGATGTGATGTTCCACGACACGATCCACTGGTGGAGCGACCGCTGTGCCCACATCTTTCTCGCCAGTCTCGGTACGGCCCTAGGTTGTAGATGACCACCCCGCATTCTCAGCCTACTTCCTGCACGACCAGTACGACATGGTGCTAAATGAGTGGACGCCTCGGATGGTCGAGCTCTTCCTCCACCACACCCTCACGATCTTCGTCTACTGCGTGCAGCTGTCCACCAAGAAGTTCCAGCCGTACGCCTTTTGGGCGATCATGATGGAGGTGAACAGGTCGGTTTCTTAGCACTGTTATTTTTTCGGTGCTGATCTATTATCGGGTGGGGGAAGGGGTAATTGTGGTCCACTGCTCGGTTCTGACCAAAAAGCAAAAAGTCTGCGCTAACCGGAAACCTGGTCTTGTGCCTGGCAGGCTAGCCCACTACCATTAAGCTATGGCCCCGTTTCTTCGGTATCAAATTTTTTGCAGTGTCTTTCTCCACGTCCGTGCCGTGATGATGATGAGCGGCTGGAAGAACATCTACCCCAAGACGTTCCAGACGATTCGCGCCTTAAATCTTTTGACGTAATCGGTTATCAATTTGCCTTCTGGGGCCCTTTAAAATGAAAATCTTTTATTTTTTTTTGTCTAGATTCCTGGTGTTCCGCTTCGGGGTGCAGTCGTGGCAAATCTGGTGGATTATGGAGAATCGGTTCAACATGCATTACTTCTACTTTTGCGTCGGGTACTACGGTATGAGGTTTTTGGTTCTTTGGTATTAACGGGGGGGGGTGTATTTTTTGTTTGTCATTATTCAATGTATTGAACTTTTATCTTTTAAAGACCTTTTACGATGATTTTCTAGGCGGCATCGTCTTCCTGTGCATCAACACGATCCTGTTTGCCCGAATCCTGTATTCTGATGGGTATCTGTGCAAGCGGAAGAGGTACGGTAGCGCAATCCACAGGATTGTGACTTGTCAACACCTTTAAACCCTTCGTTCCAGCCTCAACAAGAGCAACACCGACATGGCTATCCAGCAGCTGAACGAGCCGCTGTTGAGGTGGGAGATGCGCTTGCTTTCTAGGCTTATCCAGCCCGTAAAAACCCAGAAATCAAGAACAAGTGATTTTTTTAGCTCGTGGCCGCCCGACAGCCCGGAAAAGCAGCGAAATGGGCGACGGTCGTCAAGGTGAGCGAGTTCTGTCACTTCTCACCAAACATGCTTTAGAAAATCGACCTCGAAGAGCGACTAGGGCGGCGTGTGAGCGAAAAATCGGCACGAGCTGTTGCTCCGTCTATGGTAAATTTTTGGAGTTTTTGGGGATACTGGTGTGTTAGCGGAGGGGTCGGGTATTCCAGCAAACTATAAATGAATTTTAATGACATTTTACAGTTTTTAGAACAAAATCAGATAGAAATTGTGATAATCGACAATGGCTTTTCGTTAAAATGAAAGAAAATAACCAAAAATTGTCAAAATTTGCTGTTTTAAAAATTTTTACCTTTTTCTTACATTCTTAGCGACCAAAAACTTTACTAAAAACACATAAAATACGTTATACTACTAATTAAAACCGTAATAACCAGAAAAATTAAAAATGGTTTCTTCGCTAACCCACCCCCGCCCGCCCCCCCCCCCCGCTAACGGACCAGTTCCGGATCTGGTATCATAGTTTTGCGTTACGGTAGTTTGAAAATAACGGAATTCAGGGTTACGGTGCTGTGCAAATTACCAAATTTCCGATAGTTTCCAAATTACGGTCTCATTTTTACAGTCAACCTGCCCGCCACGATCTACCGTCCACTCCACCCCGCCAAGGCTATTCCACTACGCTACAATCGACACCTCATCCCAGCCGGCCAGCACCAAAAAAATCGCCTTCACCTCTTCTTTTAACAAAATGTAGTACGGTGTCGGATTCGTCATTTCCATCCCTTCACCAATTGTTTTGCCCTCATCACCCCCCGATTTTGCATGTCCGCTCTCAACGGGTTCCCCCTCTCTTTCCCTCGCCATTTTTCGCGCGTTTGTGAATAAAAATGTTGGTGTAATTTGGAGCGTGTAGCTTGGAGCGTAATGTACTGTAGGCAACAACCGATTAAAAGTATCTTTATTTTTGACCGTAATCTAGTCAAAGTAAAACAATTGAGGAGCAAGCAGAGAAGCACAACCGGTATTTTCAAATCGGAAAGGATAAAGGAAAATCGAGACTTGAAGGAGCATTGAAGGCGTAAAAACGACTTATTACGGTCTTTAAAACGTTATTAGAGCTTTCGGGATTTGCGATGGATTATTAGACGCTTTAGCAACCCACCAGGAAGGGGGATACGGTAGCCGTAGAGTTTTTAAAAATGTTATGCCCATTTCAAGGGTCAGTAAAGTTAAAAAGATTTACGATTTTTGGCAACTTTTCAAAAAGCTGGATTTTCGAACTTCAATTGACTTATGGAATGCTGATGACCTTTAAAACAACATCTGGAAAGTCCGGAACACAAACGGTAACAAAATCAATGCTCGACCAGCCGAGCGCGTGACCGGCTCGGGACGTAACGTGGTCGGGCTACGGTATGTGGTGGTCAACGGTATCGGCTGGTGCATACATTCCGTGTCGCACACGTTGCTGCTGTTGCACGTGTTGTAGACGAACGCCTTGTTCTCGAAGGTGCTAAAAATGGTGTTGTTGGGCCAGAGGTTTCCTAAAGGATTTCTGCTAGTTTGCCTTTTCCCCCAGGCTTGAGTGCAGTTTACCCCCCCCCAGCCGACCCGGTTGGCAGTCGTCTGATCGAAAAACACCTGATCGAAAATCGCCTGATCAAAAATCGTCTGATCGAAAATCTCCTGATCGAAAAATCGCCTGATCGAAAATCGTCTGATCGAAAATAACTCAAAAATTTTAGGGGGTTTCTAGGCTTCTAACATGTGTTAAAACTACTTTTTGAGTTATTATCGACTAGACAATTTTCGAGTAGACGATTTTCGATCAGGCGAAACTGCTCTCTAACCCTCCCGCAAAATACCAACCCATAATCGCATTGATTGTACGCGTGGCTGACTTTCCCGTCCGGAAGCGTCGTTTCCGGTGCATCGACACACCCTCGCTGCACCGAATTCCCGAGGCCCTGCTGGTAGACGCGATCTAAATCGCGCCATCGACTACGGGATACAACCCTTACAGTAGTAGCAGTACTTCCCGACACACATCGGTCCCTGGCAGGTGTTCCCGGCGCCGCGGCAGCTTGTGCAGGTTACCTGAAAAAAAGAAAGGATTGTGTACAAAGGAGAATTTTTGGAGATTCAAGCTTAAAGGCGACAAACGGTATCGTACCTCATTGGTAAGGGCAGCAGCAAATTGCGTACAACCCGAGTCGCAGTGGTCCATCGAATCACAAGTGTTGGCCAGGATTACGCGATCTGCTGTGGAGCTGAAATGCAGGCCTTAATCAAAGATAACTTTTGAACAGAAACCGTCTTCCCTCCGAACTTGGTAAATGCCTTACTCTACCATCTTTCACGACAAAACCTCAATCCGCTCTCTCTCTCTCTCTCTCTCTCTCTCTCTTCTTTTCTGTCTCTCGATCCTATTTCCATAGGCCTCCAAAAGCGTTCAAGACTTCTTATTATCATTTTTTGGCCATAAACCCACATTTGACGGCACTGTCCATAGGCGTCAATCGGAATCCCCTCCAAATCCAGCTCGCGATGCTCGGAACATCCTCGATGCGATTTTGCAATGCCCTTTGACCGATCGAACACAAGATCTGAAACGATTTAATCATCAAAACGTGTAAAATTGTGATTATTATGATCAACTTACAATAATAGCAGTAATGACCCCGGCAGGTGCCCGTGTAACAATCTGGCTCATTTGCGGTGCATTCATAGCAGGTTACCTAGAAATTGACGTTGTAAGGAGGTGGCTATGAAATACCAAAGAATCGAAGGCGGGTCGAGTCGTGAGGACTGGTTGTCGAACACAATCTGTCGCACAGAAGTTGCCAGTGTTGCACACCTCGATGAAGCGGTTTTCACCATTGGAAAGTGTTCTGGAAATCGAAGATTTTGAAGTTAGCGAGAGAGATAGAGAACGAGAGTGAGAGTGAGAGAGAGCGATAGAGAGAGAAATCCAGACATTCAAGGAATATTGCCGACGCTCTGGTAAATGCCAAGACTCAGTAAATGGCAAAGGCAGATTTTAGAGTTTCTAGCCTCTTAAAAACATCCAGTTTACCTCGATTCACACTGATTCGTCGTCTGACTACGGCTCCCATCCGGGAATTGGATATACGGCTGATCCGAGCACCTCCTTTCCACCCTCACTTGCCCGAGTGTATCAACGCGTTCTGCAACCCAACCATCATTTGCTAAAGCACAATGCAATTACCATATACACAATACGCGCCCTGGCAATAGCGATCAGGGCTGCAGTCCCGCACGTTTTGGGCTGAGCAGACACCACAGGTTAGAGCTGAAAAAAGGATTGGAGTGTCTACAGTCGTCCTTACTATTCTGAGTTGGTGGCAGGGGCCTGGCGCAGAAATTGTTACAGTAGTCACCGTCATCGCAGATCTTTGCGGAGTAGGCGGTGCCTTGGGAGATTCTGAAAACTTCAGCGTAGATATCAGATTTTTCACGGTCTAAAATTCAGGGGACCGACAAGGCTGGCCGATGGATTTTGTTGGCCCGTCCCTTTAGTGAAATTTCACTCACCCCGCCTCGCACATGTTTGCCTCCCTCAAATATTGATTATTTGGCATTAAAAGCCAATTTTCATTTGTGCACCCCTTCTTGATCCGGTGCTGATTGCCAGTCGTGGTTTTTTCTGAAAAATCCAACTTAAAAATTGGAGATAGCCTACCATAAGTACAGTATTTCCCGTAGCAAGTCTCCCCGTAGCATTCTGCATCTGTTTGGCCCGTGCACTGCATACAGCGCCCTAAAAATCGTGGTGTTTTGGAGTTGCTCGTAACTCTCTAGATCTAGCCGTGTAAAAGCGTCGATTATGGCGCTTGTCAGCCCCTTTAATCCGCTTCAAACCCACTCAAATTCGCGTCATCCCCCACAAGCTGGCAATCCTCGTTGCAGTGATCGGCGTCGTTACAGATTTTGATCTCGTACGCGTGTGTGGCGGTTCTTCTAAATTTTTCAGATCAACGAGATACAAAAACCATCAGCTTATATTGGTCATAACAATTTTCACCAGGCCGACCTCCTTATACATCGATTGGTCAGCTGCGTGACGCTACCATCGTCAAATCGGTAGCTGCTGGCGGCTTGGCACGATTTTCGCACTACCGTTTGTGAGTCGGAGGTGATTTTTTCTAGAGAAAACTAAAATTTTTAAATCGTGCCTTTCCTACCGTAAATACAGTAGTTGTTGCCACAGTCTTGGAATTTTAGGCAAGCGCCATTTGTCTCCACGCAAGTTTGGCAGATGACAGCTTCTAAAAATAAGGCGTCTTCGAGTCGTCCAAAGTCTAGCGCTTCTCAATCTCAGTCTCTCTCGTTGTCTCTCTGTTTCTCTCTCGCTCTAGCTTTCTCTATCTATCGCTCTCTCGCTCTCTCTCTCTCTCTCCACCTCTCGTACTTTCTTGTGCTCTCTCTCGCTCTCTCTTGTTCGCTCTAGCTCCTTCACTGTCCCTGACTGTCTCTCTTTCTCTAGCCCTCTCTAGCTGCTCTCTCTCTCTCTCTCTCTCTCTCTCTCTCTCTCTCTGGCTCTAACTTCCCTTGACTGATTCCTCGAAAAATACTTCTTCGAAACATTCACAAGAATACTAGTTCTTACGAAACCATTTTCATTTCCTTTCCTCAGGTCAAGTTTTTCCACCCAAAAATGGTCATTCCCATTCGCTTTTTAGGGTGGTGCGCGGGGGAGAAAACAGTAGGCAGAGTCACAAGAACGGATAAGCTGCCGGGTTAAGTCAAGGACGATAGGGGCAAAGAAGAGAAGGAAGAGAGCACGCTTGTTTTCAAGAAATGGTGAACTCCGAGGGATGGTGTTTGGTATTTAGGGTGGAATTCGAAAAACAAACAAGAGTTACGGTAGTTTGTGAGTTCTTTGGGCTTACCTAGAAAACTTGGGAATGCTGTGGCGAGGAGGAGAAGCGCCCCGAGCATCTTGCTAAAATGGTTTAAAAGTTTATGAAACTGACGAACATAAAAATGCAGGGAAATAAAAGACCAGATAAATCCAGAGAGGTACAGAAGGGTTTTATTTTCATAAAAATCATAAAAGAGGCGTTTTTAAGTGTTTTCCGGACTGCGGTATGGGATGTATCTTGTGTAGAATTTTATGCTGATTCCGAATATAATTCTGGTTTTTGTGGAATAACCGTTTCTCGAAAGTTGTGAGCAATTCAAACCTAAAAACGCCACGAATCAGTTACTTTCGACGAGCATAAAAGGCTTCGGAAAAAGTCTTAGAAAAAACCCCCGCTAATACATCCAGTTCAGAAAAGCATTCTCAGTAGCTTTCCCCGGCCTTTAAAACGATCCGAGAGGTAGGAATCTATCGGAACTAATTATATAGGATGGGCATAACAAAACCTAAATCCCACTTTGAAAATACGGTAACGCAGCCACCCGCGTGCCCGTTGCGGACTCGGCCGCAAAACATCGATTTCAAAAATCGATGAATTTTGCTTGCCTTTAAAATCATCGAAGAACTTCGGCAGGATCGCGAAAATCCGTAATTTTGCATTTAAAGAGGCCAGGAAAAATTTCGGATGCGTTGCGCGTTGCCGCGAAACCCATAGCGAATTAATAAAAGGCTGAAGAAAACTATTCGCGTGCCTTGCCGCCTTTAGAACCATCCGAATTCGGAAGCTCGAAGCCACGCTAAAATTCATAGAAGTTTCCCAAGAAGAGACGGTATACGGCAAACTCTTTTACCGCACCGCAACACTCAACGCAACACGCAATCTGTGAAGAGCGGGTACTAAATTACGAAGTAGAAATGTAAGCGACAATACGACAGCGCTGGGCTTCGAGCGCGAGCTGGGCCCGAGGCCTGCTTTTCCCATACTTTAAAATCATCTAGAAAATTCAGATTCTGGCAACAATCATAAAATTCCCGAATTCCAGAATCCTAGAAAAGTGGGTATTTCGCGTTCGGGTGGTAGATAGTAGTAAACTGGGGGGTGGAACCAGTCGGATGGGTCGCGGCAGGAGGGCCGGAGTGTCTCTCCTTGTTGGGTATGGCATACACTGACTCTTCGACTCTTCTCGGGTGTATGCGTATTTGGGGAGTGTCTCGGAATCGCGGTGGATGAGTCAGACTCAGAAGAAACTGGGCCCTCGCGTTGTGGCCATCCACGTAAGGGCTGGGATGGCAAGTTTATCCAACGGCTCACCGGACCGCCCGGAGCAAGCTTTGAATCATGGCCGGCAAGCCGATATGCGCCATTTTTCAGGAATTTTTCGATGATTTTTGGGTTTCTTGGAAAAGGTCGAGGGGTATTAGGTGTCAAGTGGGATTGGTCATACTGGGCTCATTTTTGCGCAAAATCGGAGCTCTATCGCGAGAAAATGCTGAAAAAAAAACTTTGAAGCAGTTTTTGTGAATGTTTACGAATTTTTCGATTTTTGGAGAGTTTGTAGTAAACTTTAACTAGATTCGAAGCGGAAAAGCCATCTAAAACACGTAAAATTTGCCAAAGATTTACAGGGTGTCCCAAACCCCCCCCCCCCCCCTCTAGCGGTCCGTGGGAAGCTCAGATCAGGATGATTTTTATACCATTCGAAAGCCCGCGAAAAGGCGAGAAAACAAGCGGGCTTCATTTTCTAAGATTTATTCTGATTCGTCCGATATTCAGCGTTTTTCTAAAAAACAGGTATCTTTTCAATAGGAATTTCGTAATTAGCATGCGGATCTCGCGTAAATCAGCCGTTTTCATGGATTTTGGAAAAATACATAATAAGAAAATGAACCCTCCATGTTTTCTCGCCTTTTCGAGAGCTTTCGATAGATACCTAAACGGCGAGAATCGGACACGTCTGGGCGCCGCTAGAGGGGGGTTTTTTTTGGGACACCCTGTACAGCGTTGACGAAAAACGGCCATTTTTGTCGAAAAATCGATATTGTATGAATTTTTCATGCAAATTTGTAACTTTTTTTGGGTTTAGGAATAAATAGAAACAATTTAGAAATACACCAGGGTTGAAAAGCCGTTTCGCGACTTTTCAACCCTGGCCCCGTCTGAGCCCATGATATCCTGCACATTGCATAATTCGACCGAATTTCGATGAGAAATAATGAAAAATGCACCCTCCCCGCCGTTATATAGGCTGCCGCCACTTCCGGCTTATGCTAAATTTATCCTAACAAAGAGGCTGCCCGATTTTTTAACAAAAAGTGATTTTTAATGTCGAAAATAGCATAATTTGCAAAATCTGGTAAGCGTGCAGTCATCTCCAATCCATTACGCACCTAATGACGTATCATATGTAGCCTAATACCCTTTCACCCTGGAGATATCCTCCGGACACCCTGACGGAAGGTGCATGCAAATGCACACACACACAAACACTATTTTTTTATATATAGTAGGATATATAGTAGGATATATTAAAGAAGTTAGCTTCCCTGCCCCTCCCTGTTGATGCCAAAGCACCCAAAAATCGACAAAGCCACTCCATAAACCCGTTTATTCCATCGACATCCCGAAAAGACACATTCATAGAAGCATTAAATCACAATTCGAAAGCGACTACTGTAAATTGAAATTTTAGTTTTTAAGATTTGTTCGGGTAGACGAGCTGCAGCGGCTAGGCGACTTCGGCAGCGGCACCGTCATCCCCGACGCCGGGATCCTTCCGCATGAGGATGAGGCGACTGCGGTAGATCTGCAGGCTGTACGGCTGCTCGGGCGTGTTGAGGGTGTAGCCGCGCATTCGCTCCTTCACCATCAGCTTTTCCATCGTCACGCCGGCGAACATGTTCGGGTTGAGCTGGTCGGGCTCGAGCGGCTTCTCGAAGAGGATCTGGAAGTGGTTCATGCCTGCAGGGATGAGAGGAGCGTTTTTTCGGCGCAATTCGCAACGTTTCCTTGTTAGCCCCGTTAAAGAAACATTCAATTCCCAGCTTTTGAAGAAAAAGCAAAAAAGACTGAACCCGGGCCTTGCGCGCGGTAAGCTAACAAAAAACCAAGGTATATGTCGGTTATGCGGGGGGGGGGGGGGGGGATAATTTTGCGCGGGGGGGCGGGACGGGACAGGCAGGCCTTTTTGGATGTTTTCGTTATTTTCTCGGAATTTTTGTTGCAACGGCATTTGATAGAGCATCGAAAAATATACCAAGAGTTTTTGTTTTAGCTCAAATTAGTGTAATATAAAAAAAGGTATGGCAAATACAAAAATAAGCTTTGAAAATCGGGTTGAGCGGCTGTTTTTCAACATTCGCGCTATTTTTTCGACATTTTAAAGATGCCATTCGATAGAGCATCCAAAAATATACTAAGAGTTTTTGTTTTAGCTCAAATTAATGTAATATAAAAAAGTTATGGCAAAAACAAGTATTACACGTGGTTTCGATGGAAGACATAGAAGGAAATCAGGTTTTCGACATTTTCGGCATTTTTACAAAATTTCTTTAGTGCCATTCGACAGAGCGTCAAAAAATATACTAGGCGCAAAAAATATACATACTGTTTGTAGCAAAAAGAAACGCAAAAAAATAGTTAGCCCGGCCCCGACAGTCCGTACCCCCGCGTAAAGGTAGGTTTTATCCACGCTTTAGGAAACAGACCCTGCCATAGCGTGGACCGGTTTTATCAAATTGGGAGCTAAGTTTTTCTTTAAGGAATGCGAAACCCACCATCAAACTCTGCCCGTCCTCCAGCGGGCGAGCCATCAACTGATCAAGAAACGACCACCGTGCCTGAGCATCTTCCTTTGAAGGGTCCCAGTGGAACAGAGCATGCGGTCCCCGAATTTGCAGCAAAAGCGGAAGATGCTTGGCGGCGACGGCTTCGAGCTAAATCGCGTACGTTGATGGCGCCAAGCTGTCCTGAGGCCTGTCGCGACCAGGGTTGTTCCGGGACGGGTCGGGCCGGACGGCTGACTACCCAATTTGCATAAAATTAGCGGACGGGCTGTGACGGGCTGGGGAGCGGGTCGGACGGGCCGGGCGGTAAAGGTTGCTTAACGGGGGGGGGAGCGGACAAATAACGGGGGTGGAAACAATTTTTATAGTTATAAAGAGTATCTTGTTATTTTGAAAACGCCATCGGAAGGAGGGTCGAAAATTCTGCTAGCAGAGTTAATTTCAGTCGAAAAAACCTCATTTTTAACGATTTTTAATCGATTAAACTTTTAGCTGAATAAAGTAATAATTTTAAATTGTGGTATTTCGGATTTAAATTATCATTTTCCGGAAGTGCTGCATCTCTCCCCACAGGTCCATTAAGGAAATTCTGACTAGACCGTTGGAATCGCCATAGCCTAAAACCTAGGCGTAGCCGCGAGCGTTTTTCGAGCCTAAACGCTTTATCCAATGGCAGGCTTGAATTGGCATGACAGGTCCCTAAGGGGAAAAATGGTTTCCACCCCCGTTAGTTGTCCCCCCCCGTTAGTTGTCCCCCCCCGTTAAGCAACCTTTACCGGGCCGGGCTGGGTGGGGTTGATGCGGGCTGGGGTTATGCAAATCTGCAATGTAAATTACATCCAAGGACCAAGCCAGGGGCCAGCGCAGGCAAACAGAAACGATTTTTATAGTAGTGTACACTTTATATATAAAAAGTTTGTAAAAATTATCAAATTTTCGAAAGTTTTTGATTTGTTTGTTCAAAAAGCATGAAAAAAGGCCACAAAAGTCTTTATTAGCGAATTTTCAGAAATGTGCTCAATTGTTTTTGTAAGTTTCTAGCAATCAATCGAAGCAACAGCAGCCCCGTTAGAATTGAATTGAATTGAAATAGAATTTTATGCAAATTGGGTAATCAGCCCGTCCGGCCCGTCCGGCCCCGGACGCACGCGGGGCCGGGCTGGAAATGACCAACCTTAGTGGCGACGATCCATCCGGTCGGGCGCTCCTTGGTGAAGCCGGCGTCCCGAAGCAGAGCCTCCCAGTAGCGATGGGGCCAACCGTCGAGCTGCAGGATGAGGACGCGCGACTGCTTCAGGAAGTCCAACACTTCTGGCCATACCTCGATGCCGGACTAAAAAGCTTCGTTTGGCTTAAGCTAAAAACGTCGGTTCTGGACTGTTAGCGGGGGGGGGGGTTAGCAGGGGGCAAAAACAATATCTCTTTTTCGACCTAAAGTTACAGGTTAAAAAGTGATAGGTGTCTACCCACCACGTTTTGTTTTTCCACCTGTTGATGATGTTAAGTATTTTTATAATGCTTGTAGTAGTTTTTGCTTGTTGGAAAGTTGTAAAAAAAATTTTTTTTTTAGTTTTGAACGTCAGAAAATTTTGATCTTTTTTGGTCATTTTTCGTATGATTTTCGTATTTTTCGAAAATCAAAAATTTCGAAAATTTTAATTACTTTTTAGTATTGTTTTTATCTCTAAAAACCAACCAAAACGCAATAAAAATGGTTAATGATCTGTTATAGGGCCGTAGATAATCACCGTAAAAAAAAGTTGGTCCCCCCGCGAAAAGAGAAGAAGCCTCTATGCTACACTCTGCTCACCCGAACGGGCATCATATGCCACATTTCGCACTCGGGCATCTTCTTGATCGTGTCGGGGAAGGCGTTGATAGTCGGGTCGAAAATGAGCGTCGCCACGAGCTTCGCGTTGTTCAGCAGGTAGGCGGTCAGCTGGGCGTCGTACTCTGTGCCCTCGATGCGGATCCGGGTCTTCTTGGTGCCGTCCGGCTGCAGGCGAGCGCGGATCGTCACGCGCGAAAGACTGCAATGGGGAAGAGTTTGGTTTTCTTCACTAACCCCACCCCCTACGCCCCTCCCCCCCCGCTAAGGACCCAGTAACCGTATGCTTAGGCTTGGGCCTAGGCTTAGGTTTAGGACGCCTCACGAACACCCACCCAAATTTCGAAGCACGTCGACCAGTGCTCAGAAACGTTGGACACGCCTTGAGACAGTTCACGAAGTCCTTGTCCTCGAGGTGGTCGGCAATGATGCGCAGCAGCACGATGGGCATGTTCGACAGCTGACGACCATACACCTGCCCGTCCACGTAGCGTGGAGGCACCGTCGAATTCTGGAGAAGAATTGTCGCCTCGGCCATCGTGCAGCAGTTGTAGTCGATGAAGTAGCCATTCGGGATCTGCTCGACCCACTGCCACGACTTCGGGCTGTACTCGATGCGGGCGCGCAGCTCGGGGCTCACGTTGGCGATGGCGAGAAGGGTGGACGCATCCAAGGTGCTCGTCACGGCATCAAACAATTTGTCGGGCAGGGAGAGGAGGGCTGAAGTAACAAAGATTTAGAGCAAGAGAGAGAGACCGCGAGAGAGAGTGAGCGAAACAGCGAGAGATAGAGAGAGAGAGGCAGAGACATAGAGAGCAAGAGAGAGTGAGAGCGAGAGACAGAGACAGAGACAGAGATAGAGAGAGAGAGAGAGAGAGAGAGAGAGAGAGAGAGAGAGGGCGAGGGAGAGAGAGAGAGATCGATACCAATGTTTGGCTGCACATCTGCGGTGTACAATGAGACGATGGACGGCGTAGTGCACTCTGCAAACGGGAAGCAGAACATGGGGGGCTCCGTGATGGCGCAACTTTTCTCGCAATTATCCGGGGTTCTGGACTGTTAACGGGGGGAGGAATTTTTTAGCACAGGAGAAAGTAATTTTGGTTTTTCACCAACATCTACTTGTCGAAAGAACTCAATGTATATTATTAAAGGGATACCCAATGTTTTGGCGGCAAATATATAGTTATGTATTCCGGCGAGTACAAATGACGAGCGAATTTTGTGCGGTAATGGATGCCCAGTGCAGCACAGAATTCGGCCTCCTCTCCTCATTGTGGCGTCCCCATCTCGACCAATGGCTTGCCACTATGGCCTAATGGATAGCATCCAGGTCTTGAAAGCGGGGGTCCCGGGTTCGACCCCCGCCCGCGTCCTGGATTTTCCTTTTTGAGCCCCGAAAAGGGTATCCCTTTAACAAGTAAGTATAAGCAAGGCCAAGACGCAAAGTCTATCAATAATTCAAACGCACCCTCATCAGAATCATACACCCGTTCATCTTCCAAGTCAACCGTGTCGAGAAAGCCAGCGTGGCGGCAGGGAATCGATGACTCGGCCATCTTGTACAGGGGCCCCGTAAAACAGGAAGCAAGCAGATATGGAAACCCCTCGGACCTAAACGCCTGGTTTTAAAATCGGAGAAATTTTCTCACTCTGTACTGGCGGTGGAGGTGATCGACGACGTATGGCTCGAGTGCGAGCTGCTGCTCAGCGTAGAATGTGAGCTGGGTGTATGAGAGTTCGCCGTTGAAACATCTGACGACCACGAGGAGACCGACGATAGGGAGGCGGAGGAACTCGATGGAGACACCATGATGAAAACGAGATATGAGGTCGTCTGCCGGGCAAACCGTTTATTTTGGCGACGACAGGAGATTCTGTATTTAAATTCAGATTATTTGAAAGCCGGAAGCTTATGGCGTATTTTTATGACAATAAAGGCAATGCAAAGTTGTTCACTCGCTCACTCTAGCTCTCTCCCGTTCTATTTGTGGTAAACTTTAACTAGATTTGAAGCGGAAACGCCATCTAAAACACGTAAAAACTGCCAATGATTTACAGATTTGACGAAAATCGGCCATTTTTGCCGAAAATTCTATATTTTTGTCGAAAAATCGATATTGTCTGAATTTTTCATGCAAATTTGTATTTTTTTTGGGTTTAGGAATAAATAGAAACCATTTAGAAATACATATAAATCCTTATATAATTTATATAATTTTGGCGTGTAACTGTGTGTGTGTGTGTGTGTGGATGTCACTTTCGAGGCCCGATTTGAGGGCCTTCCCGCGCATAAAAAGCCCCAATTCTTCGTCACCCGGGCAATCGACCCTTCTGTTTCAGATGACGTTCTCAGAATTACGATAAAATACAAGTTTTCAAAGTTAAAGCCGGTTTTATTCATTTTTGGGGTAATTTGCATAATGTGAAAAAATAGAAATTTCCTCATTCTTGCCAGTTGCAGTCGCGCGTGTGGTTGGGGGGTGGGGTCCGCAGGACCCGAGCTATCAGAAAGTCAAACTTTTCATGCAAAGGCCGCATTCCAGCGCCCAAGGCCCGCGAAGCGGGTTTTGGGCGCTGGTACATATATTAGAGACGTTAGCTTCCCTGCCCCCTGTTAGTGCCAAAGCACCCAAAAATCGACAAAGCCACTCCAAAACCCGTTTATTACATCGGCATCCCGAAAAGACACATTCATCGAAGCATTAAATCACAATTCGAAAGTGAGTACTGTAAATTGAAATTCAAGTTTTTAAGATTTGTTCGGGTAGACGAGCTGCAGCGGCTAGGCGATTTCGGCAGCGGCACCGGCATCTTCGACGCCGGGGTCCTTCCGCATGAGCGTGAGGCGACTGCGGTAGATCTGGAGGCTGTACGGCTGCTCGGGCGTGTTGAGGGTGTAGCCGCGCATCCGCTTCTTCACCACCAGCTTTTCCATCGTCACCCCGGCGAACATATTCGGGTTGAGCTGGTGGAGCTCGAGCGGCTTCTCGAAGGTGAACTGAAAGTGGGTGAGTGGTGTTCAAGCGAGTAGGAAAGAGGGCAGGGTTTGGCTGTTCGGTACTGGATTGTTAACGGGGGGAAACCACATTTTTCCGAGCCGTCGCCTACAGCCCTATAATGTCCTATAAATAATTTTATGGTATTTTACAAAGTTTTTCGACACGAAAAGCATAAATTATTCCGAAAAATCCTCGAAATTTTGACTTTTTGGTCAAAATGAATGAAAAATCAAAAGCTTCGAATTTCCAAAAAATATTTTGTAGGTTTTTGTATTTTCCCGCAACCAAAAAAAATTTTGAAATCTGCGAAATGACCAGACTATAGAAGTTATGAAGCTTTTCAAAAAAAAACAACGCGAAAATGTGCCAAACTCCGAATTTTTTTACTTTTCCCCGCTTCAAAACGTCATAACTCCTTAAACCTGGCCGTTTTCCAAGTTTTAAATGCATATTCGGAATCAGCACAAAATTTTGAACCAGAGAGAGTTCTCGATTGCTACTAAAAATGGTCTCCTTGTTGGCGCCTTTCAGGGGCACGACACCCACCACCAAACTCTGTCCATCCTCCAGCGGGCGGGCCATCAACTGGTCGACAAACGACCACAATGCCTGAGCGTCTTCCGCGGCATTTGAAGGGGCCCAGGGGAAAATGCAGTGAGGTCCCCGAATCTGCTGGAGAAACGGAAGATGCTTGGCGGCGACGGCTTCGACCTAAATCGCGTCCGTTCACGGGCCAGGTTGTCTTGATCCCACTGGCGAGGCGATGATCCATCCGGTCGGGCGCTCCTTGGTGAAGCCGGCGTCCCGAAGCATAGCCTTCCAGTAGCGATGGGGCAAACCTTCGATCACCAGGATGGCGATGCGCGACTGCTTCATAAAGTCCGCCACTTCCGGCCATACTGCGGTGTCAGACTAAAAAAGTTCGTTCCACTCCGCCACGCCTTCACCCCACCTCCCCCCCCCTGCTAATGGAGAAGAACCCTCTATGCTACACTCTGCTCACCGGAACGGGCAGCATATGCCAGACGTAGCACTCGGGCATCTTCTTGATCGTGTCGGGGAATGCGGTGATGGCCGGGTCGAAGACGACCATCCCCACGCGCTTCGCGTTGTTCAGCAGGTAGGCGGTCAAGTTGGCGTCGTACTCTGTGCGCTCGATGCGGATCCGGGTCTTCGTGATGCCGTCCGGCTGCAGGCGAGCGCGGATCGTCACGCGCGAAAGCCTGGAATGGGGAAGAATTTGGATTCCTTCGCTAAGCCCCCCCCCCGCTCACAGCCTAGTACCCATATGCTTAGGCTTACGCTTAGGCTTAGGCTTACTACACACGCCTCCCGAAAACGCACCCAAACTTCGGAACACGTCGACCAGTGCTCAGAAACGTTGGACACGCCTTGAGAGCGTTCACGAAGTCATCGTCCTCGAGATGGTCGGCAATGATGCGCAGCAACACGATGGGGATGTTGCACAGCTGACGACAATACACCAGCCCGTCCACGTGCCGCTGAGGTACCGTCGAGTTTGGGAGGAGAATCGTTGCTTCAGCCATCGTGCAGCAGATACAGTCGATGAAGTAGCCATCCGGGATCTGCTCGACCCACTGCCACGACTTGGGGGTGTACTCGATGCGGGCGCGCAGCTCGGGGCTCACGTTGGCGTGGCGAGAAGGGTGGACGCATCCAGGGTGCCCGTCACGGTATTGAACAAGTTGTCGGGCAGGGAGAGGAGGGCTGAAGTAACAAAGATTTAGAGCAAGAGAGAGGCCGCGAGAGAGAGAGAGAGAGAGAGAGAGTGAGAGAGATTGAGCGAAACAGCAAGATATAGAGGGAGGAAGAGACATAGAGAGCAAGAGAGAGTGAGAGCGAGACACAGAGACAGAGGCAGAGACAGAGATAGAGAGAGAGCGAGGGAGAGAGAGAGAGATACCAATCTTTGGCTGCACATCTGCGGTGTACAAGGAGGAGATGGACGGCGTAGTGCATTCTGCAAACGTAAAGTAGAGAATCGAGGGTGCTAGGTTGTTAGCCGGGGGGGGGGCTGTGCGGTGGTACAAATGTTTACTCGCAATTATCCGCGGTTCTGAACTGTTAACTCGAGGGGAGGGAATTTTTTGAGCTCGGAAAAATTGGACACAATGCTCCAAAACGCTAGTCAATAATTAATAATCTAGACGCACGATCATCAGAATCCTGCACATCTTCATCTTTCGTGCCCGCGTCGAGAAAGTCACCGCCGTCGTCGAGCATCCAAGACTTCGTCATGGTGCACAGGGCCCCCGTAGCAGAGTCATGAACCATATTTGCAAGCACCTCGGACCTAAACGCCTGGCTTTGAACTTCGCAAGAAATTTTCTCACTCTGTACTGAACGACGACGTATGGCTCGAGTGTGAGCTGCTGCTCAGGGTAGAATGTGAGATGGGGGTAGGGGACAACGCCGTTGGAACATCTGCAGACGACGAGGAGACTGACGATAGGGAGGCGGAGGAACTCGAAGAAGACGTCATGATGAAAACGGGATATGAGGTCGTCTGCCGGGCAAACCGTTTATTTTGGCGACGACATAAGATTCTGTATGTAAATTCAGATTATTTTGGAGCCGGTAGCTTATGGGGTATTTTTATATCGATAGAAAGGCGAAGGAAAGTTGTTCTCTCTCTCTCTCTCTCCCTCTCGCTCACTCTTTCTCTCTCTCTCTCTCTGAATTTGTCCATCTCTCTCTCTATCTATCTCTCTCACTCGCTATCTCTCTCTCTCTCTCTCTCTCTCTCTCTCTGAATTTGCCCATCTCTCTATCTATCTCTCTCACTCGCTATCTCTCTCTCTCTTTCTCTCTCACTCTCTCTCTCTCTCTGAATCTGTCCATCTCTCTATCTATCTCTCTCACTCGCTATCTCTCTCTCTCTCTCTTCCTGAACTTGTCCATCTCTCTATCTATCTCTCTCACTCGCTATCTCTCTCTTTCTCTCTCTCTCTCTCTGAATCTGTCCATCTCTCTCTATCTATCTCTCTCACTCGCTATCTTCGTCTCTCTCTCTGTCCCTCTCTTTCTCTCTCTCTCTCTCTCTCTCTCTCTCTCTCTCTTCTAAGCGGGACCGTAGTCCCAATATTTCTCTTTAGTGTATTGTTATCAATTCCCTTTCTCTATGGGTTAAATGGCCAGGTGAATGGACAGATGGGGGTAGGAGATCGCCAGAGGGCCAAACAGTCCGTTGCGCAACGGATGCACCCTGTTTGTATGACCCCGTTATGGACTAAACACTGCCTTTACCCCAATTTTTTGGATTAGCTTGCTCTGATTCTCTCGTCCTCTCTTTCTTGGAGGTAATGTCACGCAACGGGTGGCAATTAGCCGGCCACAGTAGCGCACCGGAATTTGACCCCGGATTACGTCGGAAACTGTGGATTAAAGCAATTGGTGGTAAGGGAGAGAGACAGAGTGGGATAGGAGAGAACGAGCTGAATCTTCGATATGGCCGCACTCTGTCCGTGGCATCCCATCTCTCACTCTCTCTCTCTCTCTCTCTCTCTCTCTCTCTCTCTCTCTCTTTCTTCCATGTGTGTCTCTGTCTGCCGCTTGCTCTCTCCTCCCACTCTCAATCTCTCGTCGGCGGAAGTTCCCAGTCCCTTAAAAAACGCAGATAAACCCCAATCCCTAGCAATTTTTGGGGCCACTTCCCTAGGACCAATCCCCAAGCGCAGGTGGCCATTAAGGGCCCCCAACTGGCGACCGGGGGATGGGGCCTTAATCCGGTGTGTTGCCGTCAACTCACCTGGAATGAATATTAGAAGAGCATGAGGGTGGAGAGAGGGAGAGAGGGAGGGAGAGAGAGAGAGAGAGAGAGAGAGAGAGAGAGAGAGAGAACGATTGGGGCAGGATGGGCTAATTGCTGACCCAGATCGGCGGGCCATAATCAGGGTTTCCGGATTCTGGACTTGGGTCGAATTTCAGGGGTCTAGTGGTTCTAGGTTAGCTGAAGGGCCAATCGTTAAAGGGATCGTGCCACGAAGGCTGGATCAGATCTCTGTCTCTCTCTCTGTTTCTCTCTCTTTCTCCCTCTCTCTCTCTCTCTCTCTCTCGCTCTCTCCCTACAACAATAAGCCATCATGATCCCAGATCATCTACTATATTTGAGCTATTGCCCCGGGTCAAATGTGCCCTCGAGGCATCAATGCCCCGGCCAATCCGATGCGCAAACAGTGCCGCGCTTTTGACCGGGGAATCGTTTAGGCAGGGTTTGATTGACGTGCTGACTCAGTACAATAGGGTACGGTAGCTAGGAGGAGCATGAGAGTCGAAAAAGAATCACGAAGTCTCGATCGCTCTCTCTCTCTCTCTCTCTCTCTCTCTCTCTCTACTTCCTTCGCCCGTTCATTCTCACTATCTCTTTCTCTCTATCGCTCTCTCTCCTCTCAAAATATACCATATCCCTACCATGACCCCAGCTTGCAATAAATGAAGGTGGGAACGTGGGGGGAATGGCCCCCGGGTCTCCCGAAATTGCGGAAAAAAGGGGAACCGCTAATTATCCGCCCGTAAATCTTCGGGCCGGAATGGGGCACTACCCGCACACGCATTGCACACGGCCACCATTTTTACGATTTGGATGCGCGGGGGGAGGAAAGGGTCAGCATAATAACCGGGAGGATTTTTATTGGTAGAGGGAGGGGAACAGGTGCAGTAGGAGGGGGAGGTATGGTTACGGAAGGATGTTGAAAATTGGTTTTGTTTGGTCTTGATGGTAGATAGAGAGAGAGAGATAAAAAGAGAGAGAGAGAGCGAGAGAGGGCGAGAGAGAGGGAGAGAGAGCGAGTGAGAGAGAGGGAGCAAGAGAGAGATGGAGCGATAGTGAGTGAGACATAAAGCCGACTTGAATTTTACTCTATTTTTTCGAGTTTTTCTATCGCCCCTCTTACGCGCTCTGTCTATCTCTCTCTCTCACTCACTGTCTCTCTCTCTGTCTCTCTCTCTCTCATTCTCTCTCTCTATCTCACTCTCTTGATCCCTGAAAATGCAAAAACTTCCGCGTTTAAACCTCCTTTAACTCGAGCCGTTGGTTTCTATGGATTTTCGCTTCCAGCTCTGTTCAAAACCGCGAAAATCCGAAATTTACAGCTTTTTTTTGCAAAGAATCACTGCTAGCATGCCCTTTGTCTGAATCGGGACTATCGGATATCGCTTTGTCTGTATGAATAGATCCCGCAGTGTCCATTCCCTCCACCCTATCTATTTGTATAATCGGTGCCCTTCAGCCTTGACTCATCATCACCCCCTCCTCCTTCTCCTCCTCTTTTGCCTCTCAATGATTGATCTCCATATTGCCCAGCGGGGCCGATATATTGCTGCCCCGCGCCGAGATCGTTATGATCGCTATGAAAACAAAACTTTTGCGAGGATTTGGGTTGGGACCTTTTGATGGAAATGCCACCGGACCCTTTTTTAGCCGTCTCATTGCGTATTTCCAAATTTTTTTTTGAGAATTTCGGGACTACCGTACCCAAATCGCCGATGGATAAATTTTTAAAGAAAATTTCCACTTCCTTTACCCATTTTCCCCATTTTGTGGCCTATTTCACACTAATTTTTGTCTAGGCAGCTACCGTACTACCAATAGGACCCTATAATGGAAATGTCCATCGCACGCCCTTGTTTGCAAAATTTTTTGATTTTACGCATTTTTACCGTTTTGTAATGGAAACTATCGTAGTCTACAACCCAAAATTGTCACTTTTTCGACGTCTAGAATGCTGTCTAAAACTTGAATTTTCGCTTCTTTTGAAATATTATCAAGCGTGTTAAAACTGTAAATGCAATTTTTACCGATTGAAACGATAATTTTTGAGGGATTTTAATAAAATTTCCGGGTTTTCCTGTTTTAAAATATTTGGGATGAGGGCCACCGGGACTCATCTGTTGGAAAAAAAATTAAATTTAAAATTTTCGAAGCTATGTTAAATTGCCACCAACCTTATTCCCTAAATTCCCTCCTTCCCTCTCTATGCAAATACCGCCGTGTCCCCAGGCTATCTACTTATTGCCTATCACCCCCGTTTTGATGAGGGGTCAGCCTGGGATTATTTTGGTGTGGAATGGCCGCCTTTACAATATACCCTCAGCCAGCTAGAATCGTTTTTTGCTGTTTCGCAAGATCGCTCTCGCTCTCTCTTTCTCTCTCGCTCTCTCTTTATTTCTCTTTCGCTCTCTCTTTCTTTTTCTCTCTCGCTCTCTTTCTCTCTCTCTCCTTCTCTCTCTCTCTCTCTCTCTCTCTTTCTCTCTCTCTCTCCCTGTCTCTTTCTCTCTCGCTATCCGAAGGTCCTTCACTTTACAAAGAAATATTCTATTGAAAGTAAAGCTGTAAGAATACCTCCTAAAAATCCTCGAAAATCGTAGAGGCCCGCTTATCCACCCAGAGTAAGGGGATCGGTGAGTGAATAAGTCATTGGCGGAGGTTCTCAAGGGGACGGCTACGGGTTTCCAGGAGTGTCTTTTAGTTTTTTAGTCGGGAGGAAGCCAAATTAGGCGGAGGTTTTGCAGCTTCTACTTCTACGGTTTCACATTTCTGATTATGGCTTACGACTTTCGAAACTTGCCAAAAACATTTCGTTGCGTAATGTTGTGTGATTTTTATCAACGGTGTGAAAGCAGGAGAGAGAGAGAGAGAGAGAGAGAGAGAGAGAGAGAGTTATAGAAAACGAGAGAGAGCGAGAGCGAAAGAAGGAGCGTGAGAGAGTGACAGAGAACGAGAGAGCGATAGAGAGAGCGTGAGAGATCGAGAGAGAGGGGGAAAGAAAGAGACATAGGGAGAGATAGTTTCAATGTAACCCTTACATAAAAATTCTTATAAGCTTTCAATTCTGTTTATCGCCTAAGTCTTACACAAGCTTTTCCTTGCCCCTCCCTCCCCTTCTATACGATAAATTCGAAAGTGTTGCCGACATTCCTGAACTGAATCACCCTCCCTCCCTCCTTCCTTCCTCGCCATCGGCCATTTTGTAACGATGAATTTGTCGTAAAGGAATGGCCGAAATGGGTCCTTTCGCACGTTGCCTTGCCAAAACAGACTGATAACCGGGGTGAAGGGAGAGAAGGGCAGTGAATAGACTCATAGATAGCCAGCCAGCTACAAGCTCATGCCCCTTCCGCTGCCTTTTCTTCTGAATCGCTGCTTTGGGCTAATCGGAAGAAAATTGATTTTTTTGATGCTGACTTGGCCAGCTGTTAGTCATACTGAATCTGCGCTAATTTTTTCCAAAGTCGTAGCTGTTTGGTATATCTTTTGGTTCGACGTTTTACCACTTGAGGTACTCTTCAATTTTGAAGAGATCATTTCCATTAATGCTCCATCTCTTTCGATTACGGTGGGGAAATTGAATAGTGAAATCTGGTTTCCAAGATTGCTGATTTGGCTGGAAATCGTTGATGTCTCGTCTCGGGGAACATTTGTGTCGCCATGCCTTTAAAACAAAAAATTGCGGCCGAATACTTTGTACGCCAGTTGATTCCATT